CTGTCCAGCATCCCCCCTCCCGCTTTAATATTCACCGGCCGGCTGAGTCGGCGCAAAAATGTTCCCAAAAAACTGGACCCCCCCTAAACAAATATATGTGCATTTATCCAGCCCCCCCCCCCCCCCGCTCATTCGCCGATCGCCGGCTGGCTGATTCGCCGCTAAATACTTTCTCAAGATTTGGCCCCCCCCCCCCCCACCTCTTGCCGCCGGCTGGTTCGCCCCTGATTTTGGACCCCCGTAAGTGATGTTTTCCTGGCATCTACTTACATGCGAAGCATCGTCCACGAGCCGCATAGCGGCGAGGCGATTTTTGTTGTTGTTCTTGCTATTTTGAACCCCCGTATTGTTTTCCTGGCATCTACGTTTTTCTATGCACATCACATTTTCACTTGGCAGCCCAAGGGGGCCGGGGGGGGGGGGGGAGGAGGGGGTTATGCGTGTTACCAAAATGTCCGGTAAAGGGGTACTTTTCGTGCGACAAAGTCCGGCCCGAGAATTGTAAAAAAAAAGGGGTCTTTTAACTTTTCACCCGGAGATTTCTTTAAAAAGGGGGTGTTTTTTGTTTTACTCCTGAGAAATTATTCCGAATTTAGGTGGGTACATTGAGCAATTTTCATGAATAAGGGGATCTCCAAAGCAGGAAAAGCACGCGAAAAGCCCGCGAAAGAGGGGTTCGGAAATGTTGGCAGTCCTCAGATAGGGGGTGCTTTCAAAAAGAGGGAACAAGCATAATGCGTACCCTAAATAACACTGAGTGGGGGGGGGGGGAGCGGGGTTTCTGCCCTTGCGCGATCGCCTCCAGCTCCAGCAGACATATGGCGCGACAGCGTGCACACGTACCGTTACTAACGGCGCAGTAGGCCTATAACCACTGCTGACGGCGGCACTGCACTGCGAGCTGAATCGGTAATAATAGGCCTACTCATAGAACGGTAAATCTTGCACGCTAATCTAAGTTCTATTTCATTGGTTTAAGGTTTGAAAATTGAAACTCAATATTGTGTTAAAGTTATAACAGAAAAGATAATCTTTATTTTATAATTCCACGGGGGCGATTTTTAATTTTGCAATCGCCCCCGTGAGCAACCTGACGGGGGAGATTATGTAGCTCACGGGGGCGAATCGCCCACCGCCCCCGTGTATTTTGAGCGCTGATCACGAAGATCACAAAAAGACACTTAGATTAACAGAAAAGGAGAGAGCACTTAAGAGTGGTCGCTTGTAAGGCGCACCTCCTCTTATTCATTGAGAGATGTCATTAATGTCATTGGTTACTAGTTTAAAACACACTAATGTCACTAAATAATGAAGACTTTTAGGCACTTTATAAATAAATTATGAACTCACAGGATCGACTGACAATGCTCATTGATAATTTATACCTAAAACACAAAGTTTAGATATAGAGCACAATGTATCATTTTGTATTTAACAATCAACATACGTTACACAAACAATATGTTAATGTAAAACCAAGAAACCCATAGTATTTAATGCCAGTAATGCCTGACCTTTTTCACATTTCGTCCTTGCAGTATATCCCTTTACGACTTAGCCTTCTTAACACTGAGAAACTTAAATTAATTTATATATTTTGTATGAAACATCAAGTCAGTTCACTAAATCATATCGGCTTCCGCAAGACCACTTTCATAGGCATTTACCATGTCTATGATTTGCTATGCATACGGCCCATATACCTACCATTCCTTAGATATGCGCTCCCAGTCTTTGTGAGACACTCCCCTGGCCTATTATTTATTCTATATTTATGATTTGTAACGTTTTTTATGATGCCAAATAAACTGAATAATCATAACATTTAATTTAGAGCAAAACGACCAATATTAATTTGTTCTCACTACGTAGACTTTGTCAGAGGCAATATTTCCCTATTCTTTCTCTCTCCCCCTCTCTGACCCTCTCGATATCTCACCCTCTGCGTCTCTCTCAGCCCTCTCCTCCTCCCTCTCGCAATCTCTCTCTCTCTCTTTCTTTTTTTAATACAATTTGTACCTTTTTAATAGTTTTATGGGAATTTTGTGGACTCTGTTTATCCCCATATCATCTGAGGTGACCTCTGCTCCCGAATGAGGAAAGAAAGATCATGAGACTTAAACATAACAGGAAATAACACCCACTTATAGTATTCGGCCTAGGCCGACTTTGTGAAAGTATGCGGAAAGTCCCCAAACATGATTTCGCAGAAAAAGTATACTTTCATTACTGCAGGCCTACTACTTGTACTTTGGCGCAATTTGATTTTTGCACTCTCGCAAACAATGCCTCCTGTTCATCAAAGCGTGAAAACATACCAAACAAAAATGATACTAAATAATTTGGGATAAAATGCTCTTTCATGAGAAGTATAAAAATTTACTGTTCATAGAATAATTTAAAATAGTTAGCAATTTTCTAGGTGTAAACTTTTGTGGACTCTGTTTATCCCCATATCATCTGAGGTGACCTCTGCTCCCGAATGAGGAAAGAAAGATCATGAGACTTAAACATAACAGGAAATAACACCCACTTATAGTATTCGGCCTAGGCCGACTTTGTGAAAATATGTGGAAAGTCCCCAAACATGATTTCGCAGAAAAAGTATACTTTCATTACTGCAGGCCTACTACTTGTACTTTGGCGCAATTTGATTTTTGCACTCTCGCAAACAATGCCTCCTGTTCATCAAAGCGTGAAAACATACCAAACAAAAATGATACTAAATAATTTGGGATAAAATGCTCTTTCATGAGAAGTATAAAAATTTACTGTTCATAGAATAATTTAAAATAATTAGCAATTTTCTAGGTGTAAACTTTTTTTCACTCACACGATATATAAATCTGACCCATTCATACAATTTTGAAGAAAACAAATGTTAAAGTTAAAAAGAAAAAAATAGTATTTGTTTAAAGATTGAGATAAGTATGTTTTACAAAACGTGATTTGGCTGTCACGCTTATGACCCAGGCGCTGATTCAGGCGGGGGTCCAGTCGGCTCGTGCCCCTCCCTCCCCCTTTTTGGCGGCAAAAAGAAAAAGAGAGAAAGAAAGAAGAAAAAAGAGAAAGGGGGAAGATATATATATTTTTTAATCCGAGGTATGGGTGAGAGTGTTTGTGCAGCGCTGCCCATCATCCAGTGACGTACGCGTAGGCACCACAGCCTCGGCAAGTCCGACCCTTCCTAGTTTCTTCTCGATATTGTCAAATTGTTGGTCCCATTTTGCCAGATTTTTAAAATTTTCTTCCCAAATCTCCTCTATATTCCTGATTCTTCCAAATTTTGCTTGACATGGAACCCCCCCCCCCCCCAGGTACGCCACTGCTATCATAAAGAGCTAAGCGTTGTTGTATCGGAAGTTGTGCAAAAGTAAAGGTCCGTTCATACTAGCATTGGAAAAAGGGGCACCTACAAAGGGAAAACCTCAAACCGAAAATATACAATTTTTAGACATTGGTATATACCCCTACATTGTGATAACATTAGCAGGGATGATTTCAATGTTTTTTTTTTCTTTTTACAAGTTTACATGGTCCAAGATACTGCTTAAAGAGAAGGTTGATTTCTTGGGAGAGCTGAACAATAAATTGTAAGCGTTTTCATTGTTATAATGCAAGTGTGGAAGAACATCAGAGAAAAAGTATTCCTTGAAAAGCATGGCTCTTCAAATGCGTTTATATTATATATATGACATGTAACAGCTTACAAATGTGGGCCTGAATGTTATGCCACATATAAGACTGCGCCAAATTTCTTATCATTTTGGTGATTCCAGAACCTTGTAGTACATTCCAACATTTCTTAGAAAAGAAAAAGAAAAAGAGCACATGTCAAAGTAAAAGGGGGAATTACTAGAAGGAAAATGGCACTAATATGAAAAGATAAGGGGCACGTGTCAAAATAAAAGGGGTACTCATTGGAGAGATAAAGGGGCACTTACCAAAGATATCAAAATATAAGGGGCAATTATTAGACGTGAATGGGCACTTATCAGAGGTGGCAAGGGGCATTTCTTGTACCTGAAAGTTGGCACTCACCTGAGATGAATAGGGGCGCCTGTGAGAATAGAATGGGACACTTATTATAATGGAAAATGGGCACTTGTCGTAAGAAAAGGAGCACCTATAAGATTTTAATGGAGGGATTTATTAGAGGTGTGAGTAGAGGCATTTATGAGAAGGGGAGATGGCTCTTATTAAAAAAGGGGGCATTTATCAGAAGGAAAAAGGGCACTTGTTTAGAAAGACGATGTATAATATAACATACCAAGTTTCGTGCTCGAAATTTCCTTTACGTTTACGTCTTGGACCTAAAAGACGAAAAAGTCATTGCATATAACATATACTTCACTCCTTTGCGTTTGCGTGTCCCTTCAGGCCATTAAGTACAGAAAAATGAAGAAAAAAAATACAATTAAAAAAAAAAATTATATTCACGTCTAGGACGGAAAAAAAAATGGTTGCATATAATATAAATGTCAATCCTTTGCGTTTGCCTGTCCCTTGGGAGCCATCATACATTTTCTACTTTTTCGCTTTTTTGTTGTTGCTGAATTAGGTTCGCTAAATCGCGCTTTTAGGTAAATGTGGTTTCGCATTTAGCAGCAAAAAAAAATCTTTTTTTGCCGGGGCCTTGTTTTGTTTCTTTCTTTTTCTCTTTTTTTTAAGTGGGGGGGGGGGGGGCTCTAGCCCCTAAGCCCCGTCGTAGCGGGGCCTGCTCTTTCTGCTCTTGTGCCTTCCAATGTAAGTTTTTCCGTTTCCAGGATCGCCATTAAATATAATTTTTACAATTGAGCCATTGAAGATATAGCGATTTTCTTTCTTTCTTTCTATTTCTCTTTATCATACTTTTTCCAACAAATTGAGGGGGCTTAGCCCCACCCCCCCCCCCCTCCCCCACCGAGCCCCGCCATTCCGCGGGATCGGCTGCCGACGTGGATAAAAGTGCATGCGCTACCCGCAACACGCTTTCGTCATCTTTGCACCTATATAAATCACCTAAAAGCAGAACATATATTACACCTGATCATTTTAACTACAGCTTCAGTCGTCTACTCATAGTTGACGCCCTAAGTTCATTTCGACGGTACTTCAAATTTGTTTGACGATCGTTTCATAAATTTGGCAACGCTTTCGCTTCGACAAGATTGAAAGGAGATCGGGTAAGACCAACTACTCTTTTCAAGAATGATCACATTAAATTAATTAAGATCGCAAATTCAAACATTTAAAAGCAGTTGCCCGTTGTCGAAATATCAATATTGTATGAATATAGTGGCGTTTGATATTCATACATCTTTCTGTATTGAATGTACTTTAAGCGTGTAGGCCTAGATCATTCAATTGATTAGTATAAAACTAGCTAGTCTCATCCCGTCCATCTTTTTTTGAGGGGGGCATAAGAAAGACCGCATCAATTTGGATGATTTACATACGTGTATAGTTACCTGTTAGTTGAGTTTCATGATAGCAAATTATATCATTTTTTTGGCAGATGTTTCTGTATAGATTAAAAAATCAAATACAAAATATTAATATAATAATAATATATAGTATATATTATATACCTCACTTTAGAAATCCAGCCATCTGATTGGTCGAAATTGGAGTAGTGATTTTAGCCATGTCCGTAAAGAACCGTAAAATACCAAAACCGGTCAATAGTCTTTTGAAAAGCGCCCTAGGGCACTTTTTAGAAGACTATTGACTGGTAGGCACGTAGATCTAGACTGCATAGGGATATATGCGTTCAATCTCAATTGGATGGATTTTAGCACACAAACCTGAGTGGTGCGCGATCAGACACCCTATTGAGACTATAGGTCTCGATAGCGTAAACAAACTTGATTACCATGATTGGTAAGTCGCACATGTATTCTATGACGGTTTTTTGGTATAAACAAGTTATAATGACTGCTTTAATATTCGAGGCATAGTTGTTTTTATAGGCTCTTAGGGAGGTTACATCGTGCAATCGCCCCGAGGCGTGTAAAAACAAATATGTCTCTCATAGCAGTCATTATTACTATAATATAATTCATATACATTAAATGTGACAGCTGAAATACACAAAAAACTGCATATAAAAATAATTGAAACTTGAAAGTATGGAGGTATTTTCAGAGAATCATGATAAATGCAGAGGCCAACTATCATTAGCATAAATGCTTGAGTTGATAACGCCGGCTTCTATTTCCCACGAGAGTTTCGGGCGCCAGTATGAACTCATTTACATACAGCCAATCAGAAGAGTCTAGCTGGGTAGCTAAACCTGCGCATGCGCACATGGTAACCGTTAGGGTTAGTTATAGGGTTATAATAATCATGAAAACCACCTTTCATCAACCCATCGTTAGCTCAATGAGTAAGGACAGCGTAATACAATGTTGGAGTAGGCCTAGTAGGTGCGAATCTAAGTAATTATTCAGTTCTATTTTTGCCTGTATAGATAGTGAGGCAATGCAGGAAATAATCAAAGTCTAATTGTTTGTGACCCGGCTCTTTCCAAGCTGCTAATGACGTAAAACATATTAGCCAAGCTACTGGGGTCCGGAACTCTCGTGGTAAAAACAATGGGAGGGGGGGGGGGTACATGACGCTGTTATAAGGGGCTGTAGGAGAATAGAGTGTCAGGTATCAAGATTTTTTCAGAAAGTAGCCTAAATAAAAAGTGGGAAGAAAGAAAAGAAAGGATTTTCTTATTTTGCAAGTGTATGCATGTGGGTGTTGTGCAGGTGAAGTAAGTGTTCGATTCGTTTTGTTCATAAACTGGTCATTTTACTTTAATTTATATAAAGAAACAATTAAAATCGTTGAGACCCTTGTAATGTTTATAACTATTTGGATATTAAATATTTTGTCATCGAGGCTTTGAATGAATAAAGAGATTAAGAGTGTTTAAAAATTTCAGGTAAAGCCTTCAAAATATCTGGACCATGGTGTCTTATCGATTTATATGCCATAATAATTTTGGGGGATACGTAAATGGAAGTCGGATGAGTGTCGTGTAGGATAAGAATGTATACTACTATTGTGAACAAAAATATTTCGAAATGCCAATAGTATAGTATTAATCCAAAATTAATACATAAAGAGTGCAGTTTGAAAAATGTGAATGTCAACAAATTGTAATGATTTTAGTTAATAAAATATTGGATCAGTATAGGCTAAATAATGTGAATGTGTACAAATACGGAGTGCTTTCTTTTGGAGACGATATATTAACATAGTTTTCATCGTATTACTATTATCCCATATTACAATATTACAATAAGATATGGATGACAAAATAAAAAAATCGTAATGCATAAAGAGTGACTTTTGTAAAAGAAAATATTTGAATTTATATAGAATGCCTATGCCCCTCGAGACTAACATGTAAATGTTATTAATATGACTATTCCATATTAGATTTGAGTTTTGTAACTTCTTTTTCAATTATGGGCATGTCATTTAAAAAAACATTATAATGAAGTAGGCCTACATGTTTAGAGTGTATGTTTTAGAAAAAATATAAATAGTCTTATTACTATTTAGAGAGAGTTTATCGGATTTGAGCCAAGATGGTAAAAAATATCATTTGAAATGTGATTTTTTTTTCTCTCTCTTTGCTTGATTGTAAGATAGAGATGTAAAAATATATATATTGTCGGATATAGATGTAAATGGGATTCAGGTCTTTGCTGGCGTAATAATTTCAGCCCCCCCCCCCCCCGAGAGCATCATTGATGCTGATGAGGATTACCTGGATACAACAAATTATCATTATAGATGTTAATAATTATGAATTATCATTCCACAGGACGATATCATGAAGGTACTCATTTTGATCAGTGTTGTCGCCATGGCGACCGTGGGCAACGCCCTCTACAGCTGCCCTCAGTTCTGGAACTTGTTCGAAGGTAACTGCTACCGTTACCAGGGGGATAGATTGACATGGTCGGCTGCTGAAGCTAGATGCAATAGATACTTTAACAGTGCAGGAATGGGACATCTAGCTTCGATCCATAGCCTTGCAGAGAACCGCTTCGTTTATGAGATGTTCAAATCAAGCGTATCCATAAACGACATTCCAAATTGGGTGGTAGGTTTTTACACTCGTTTTCCCGTTGAAAGTAATGCTAAAGTTTCCAAATATGAGATTGCCATGTTAAATTTCAAGAGATCAAGCGAAGAATTTAACAAGAGGAAGGACTGTTGCCAATTAAAATGAACCTCCTTTGGAAAGACATTAATCCCTCTTTGCCGCACCTGACTCAGGTGAGGTAAATGGATACCCGGCAAGATTAAATCAAATGCATGAGCTCTGTAAAGGCAACAGTGCTAAGCCAGAGTGATAACAAAAGAGCGCCATGAGTGGCAGTGTTTCAGACGTGGGCGCTATATATATATACAAGTATCCAATCTTGTAATTACTATGATCATAATCATCACCGTCATTATTGATATTAATATTGTTGTTGTTATTATGATTAATATAACTATTATTTTCATTATATTATTATTTTTATCAGTATTCTTATTAGAAGTAGAATTACTATTATTATTGTTATCATCATGATAATAATAATAATTATCATTATTATTATTATTATTAATATTATTAATATTATCATTATTAACATTATTGTCATGGAGATAAAAGCGCAATTGTCATAAAACACTAATCCTCAATGACCGACAATCCAAGGGAATAGGACTTCAAGCCGTCGGTCCCCTATTTTGCCAAGAACAAAAGTCCTTATAGTTTCTCCAAAGGGCCACTGTCGATGTTTTATAATGACCATAACATGAATCTGCCTTGCTGATGTAATTTCTCTTCTTTTAATACTTCTTTAGCATAACCCAGTAGACCCCAATCCAATCTACGGGATATGGATCGGACTTCACCAGACTGTGGCTGACGGGCCCTGGAAGAACTCTGACGATACAGACCAGGACAATTTCTTCAGATGGAGGAGTCTAGAACCCAACAACAGCTACTACGTAGGTGAACAGGCGGAAGACTGCGTCCACATCTGGCACTTTAACGATGACTCCGACATTCAACAAAAGTGGAATGACATGTACTGCAACGAGGTGATGTCCTTCGTCTGCAAGATGCCAGCGGACGGACAGATGCGTCGCTAGACCTTTTCCATAGGGGGGGGGGGTAGAGGCCACCGATTACCGACAAAAACTAGCCACCAATTACCCGACAAATATATTAATGCCAATGTGCCAATGTCTACAAATTTAACCCTTATAAACCCGGGGCCCAGGGGCACCCCGGGCACATACAATGATGTGCTCAGATCACTTTTTCTTCGCCCCTGATAGGTTGGGTGTGTTGCATCACACACCCTCCCCGTTAGCGACGCCTCTGCGGACGGGAGTCGTGTGAGTAATAAGGGGTCGCCATTTTCTTTTTGACACAGCGTGAGATTGAGGCTACCGACCACCTGCCTGACAAACTTTAACCAATCATCAATAGTATCTATTTTAGGTGTTAGTTTAAACTCTCTCTCTCTCTTTCCTTCTCTATCTCTCTCTCTCTCTCTATATCTCTCTATTATCTACCTTAATTGATGGCGGGGTACCGAAAACTATTCTATCCTATTCTATGCTAGCTTGACTTGTATGAAAGTAAATTTAAAAAATCTCTTCTTTGTGTCTCTTTCATTTAGGTCAACACGATTGTGTTTAATAAGTACTGCTTAAGTTATCATGATTTTATCTACTGAATAATGATGTGAAAAGAGGTTATTTATAAGCTTTTTACAAGTCTTATTTCTAAGCCAGTATATCTCTATCTAATACAATATTTTTGTTACTTATTGCTGTCTTCTACCTTCCTCCGCCTGTTTTTTTTTTCTTCAAGACCGGCTTTTCTTCAGGACCCCCTTAGGCCTAAAGACCATTGAATAACTTTCCTTCTTTTTTTTACAATTACAAAAGATAATTACATTTGGGGTAACGCCATTAATAATCACATGAATATCTTTAAAAGAACACTGGCTAAACATAATACCAGAGTGTATGAGTTAAATCCTGCCACAGGGCTAGTCCTCATTGTGCCAAGTCACAAATCCCCCCGTGCCAAGTTTATTTTGAGATAATCGGATTAACGCAATGGTACTATCAATACCGTATGCGAAACACTAGGCACAATACAATGGGCATGAACAATAACTGCTATTACGAATGCTTGCAAACATGCAAAAGGCAGCGAAGCAGTTAGCTTGCTCACGTGTACAAAGCACTATAACGGTAGCGTGCATGCAAGCTTATGGCAAACATGGATTACATCAGCATTATCATTTAATGCAACAAAAGCGTTGACAAATTGGATTAATCTTATCAATAATATAACCATCTCTGTAGACAAGGTAGTAGCAGAAAATCGTGTAATAATAATAACATTCGGTTCTTGAATAGCGCATATCACATTATAAAACGTCTCTATATGCGCTTCCAAAGAGTTTTGGAAATTATTACTCCTGCAGCCGTAATCAGCGCACAGTGCATTTCAAGGAGGTACCCATTTACCTCACCTAGGTCGAGTGTGGCAAATGTAGATTAATATCTTGCCAAAGAACATTAGTGCCGCGACGAGACTCGAACCGCGGACCTTGTGATCCACAGTCCGGTGACGTATCGTTTAACTATAAATGATTCGTCACTTGTAAACACGATCGCAGCTGCTTTCGTAAATGTGCAAACATTTAAGATGCTTATTTCGTATTCGAAACATTATTTTTCTATGAGGCATACAATAGGGTATTGACATTGCAACTGAGTGAAAATTGCGCGAAAGTAGTTGAATTATATTTTTGCTTTTCAACATTTTGATCCTCTGTACTTTCTGGCACAATTGGCTAATAAAAAGTGGGAGAAACGTGAATGACATGGAAAGAACATTCTTAAAGTGATGTCCATTGCGCTGTGTGATGTAAATCTATAATGAGCGACAAAGTTGAAAGTGAAGATCACAAGAAACGTTTACAGGCCTTTGTAGACCTCTCCGAACCAGGCGATGAATATCAAGAAGGGAAATCCATCCTTTATAATAAGTTCATTTTCATGAAAGCAGAAAAATAAGAGTTTCCCCAAGGTGACATTAACGATCCACCCAACTTGAAGTTCCCATTCCTATAATAAATACAACTTTAACAAATTCAAAATCGTCTTATTTGTTGTCCGATTTCGTTCAAACTTTCACCAGTCGGCTTGTCTATTTTGTCTCCTTCCTTTTAGTGTAATTTGTTGTTAAGTTTGAATTTTGAATTTCCTTTGAGGGCAATACAAACTATAGGATATATTTGAAATTACTTCCATCTTCATAGCCATTTTAAAGCACACGTGCCGAATGGTCATTATTTTGAAGAGCAAGAAAATCAACAATATGGGGCCGGGAAAGAAACCTTTCATTCGGCCCATTCAGCCAATGGTCGGTGAGCAATCGTGCTGACGTCAACAGTACAACTTTGTCCGTCCCACAGAAAGGATACCCACGCATAATTAACCGCAAGTTGGATATAACTCTTCATTTGACAAAAAAAAATAAGTCAGTAGTTCTTTGAAGGACATCGATTTAAGTAGGCCTAGACCAAAGTTGCAGTTTTGTTTCAGCATTAAGAACCACAACATATAATACATTCAAAGTCAAGTCTGAAGTGCGGTGGCAGTAGTAGGTCCTACACCTTGGTTAATTATGTGGGGGTGCCGCTTATGAGTATATACAATTATGAGAGAGAGGAGAGTTTGGTGCTGTGGGTGCGTTGATGGTAGTGTGTGTGGGTGTGGGGACGTGTGTATTTATTTATGAGGCATACAGAGAGAGAGAGAGAGAGAGAGAGAGAGAGAGATAGGGGAAGTGCGAGAGAGGGGGGGTAGAGTGAGAGACTGAGGGAAGAAAAGGGAGAGGGAGAGAGAGCGAAAAGGGAGAGTGATTTGGGGAAGTGCGAGTGAGGAGGGAGAGAGAGAAACAGAGAGGAGAGGAGAGAGGAAGAGAGAGAGAGAGAGAGAGAGAGAAAGAGAGAGGGGGAGATGGGAAGGGGGGAGGGGGACTTAGTTTTCATAACAAATGTTTTCTTTTTTTTCCTGTTGGACTCGCCTTCTCTTTTCATACATCATGTTATTTATTTGAAAATTCCACCGAGATTCAATATCCATTTGAGAAAAAATAATGTCATCAGCTCGTATCCTTTCTTTCTCTTTTTTTGACCCCCGATATGCGACCGCCACTGTACCCACAAGTTTTGACGACATTTCACTGAAACGTGTGCATTGAAATTGATAACACGCCTCGACTGGAAATGTTGTACATGTATGGTAAAAGGGGTTGTAGTGGTAAATCATGATTGAACAAATATTTCTTGCATTTGAAAAAAATGAAAATATATTTTTCTCGGGTACCTTAAAAAAATTAAAAAAAACATCATAGGCCATACAAACTATACTTTAATGGATTGACTGTATATAACTTGCTTGGACCAAATAAAATGCCAGGGGTAAACACAAATGATACCTTATTATTTCTTACTCCCCTTTCTTCCTTCATTTCTTCCTCCTTCCCTTTTTTTAATTGATGTTGTCGGTGAATATTTTCTTTAGGGATGGAGGATTACCCCCTCCCCCTACCCCCCCCCCCCCCCTCAACACACTCATCGCCAATCTTCTTCTTATTCGTTTGGTATTATAATGGCTATTAGTGAAATTTGACTATTGTTGCCAATTTTTATATAATAATAGTCATAGTTGTGATATATTGGAGGCAAGACAAATGATACACGTCCGACACGGATAAGTTCCAGACTAGGAGTGATCTTTATTAAAGGGGTTTCACTGTGGCCCTGTAGGCTCATTACATAACTTTGTCTGGCATAAACATATACCAGTAGGTGGCGCTATTACATACATTGATATGGATTTACGTTGATCAAGATACATCACATCTTCCCCTTTAAAGATAGCAGGGATCAGTTATTGAAAATCGCGTTTAAGTATACATCAATGTCTGTTAAGTGATATTAGATTGTCTTACCATAATTGTGTTTCTGAATAAACGAATTAATATTTAAGGTGTTGCTGTAATAAAAGCATTTTCCTTCTCTACTATACTCTCTCTTTTATTCTTAGCCTAATTCCTCCAACCCCTTTGCTCATTTTCATACTACATAATACATAATGTATTTAGCTATCCTACCGTTTCGCTAGTCTACACAACATCTTTTTTTTTCAACGTGAAATATGGTAATGTGGTTTTCTTTCCACTTTTTTATTTATTTTTTTATTTTTTAATAAAACAATAAAAAAACTTTTATCAACTTTACTCGCGTTATTGCGAGTATCTCTTAATGCTAAAGATTTGCCTCATTTGTAGTTTATTTAGGTTATTTATGTTCCTATTTGGCCCATCCTATACAGTTGTCATACGGTTATCACTTGTATTTAACATGAAAGTACCAAACGTTCTAACAAGCCTTCATTATGCCTGTCATTATGATTACCAGTGTTAGGATGTGGGCACACTCAGGAATTATTCAGTGTGGTCTTACATATCCAGCCGCTCTGGTGGTTTGGATACTCTTCCACTTCGGGTGGTGGTGGGTTGTGAGGGTGAGATGCTTTCATAACTCTGTGTTTGTTGATGAGGTGGCAAGGTCGCGCTGTCTGGGGGGCTGTCTGGGGCGCTAGCGGGGGAAGGGATTGGAGGCATTGGGCGAATGTGTTTTCGGTTTCGCCTGTATTCGCCTTGCTCTGTTTGAATGACGTAGCTCCGTGGGGTATGTGCTGTGCCAGCCACACATCCTTGTCGCCATGTGCCGGGTTTGGCGCGAAACACGACGTTCTGGTTGGTGCTCAGAGATGGGAGGGGTTTGATTTGAGCACGTGCGTTGTAGTTGGTCAGCTGTTTTCGCTGCCTTTCCGCCAGGTCATCTTGTAGTGGGGGTATGGCCTGAGGGCGGAGAAGGGAGGTTGATACTGGGATGCGACTTCTCAGTAATCTCCCGTTCAGGATTTGTGATGGGGCAAATCCACGCAGACCATCTATGGGTGTGTTTCTGTATTCGAGCAAAGCGTACATCGGATCATTCTTACTCATGTTAGCTCGCTTCATGAGTGTCTTCACCGTCTGAATGCACCGCTCAGCCTGGCCATTGCTTTGTGCATAATGGGGGCTCGATGTGTGATGGGTTATTTCCCACTTTTGCACAAACTCTCGAAACTCGCTACAATCGAATTGACGGGCGTTGTCTGACACAATCATGTCTGGTGTGCCATTTCGCGAGAATATTTCTTTCAAGCTTGTAATGACCTTGTGGGCTGTCATTTCGGTGAGAATCTGAACTTCTGGAAATTTGGAGTAGTAGTCGACTACAAGAAGGTAGTTGGCTCCATCCAAGTGGAAAATGTCAATTCCAAGTTTTGACCATGGTCGGTCAGGTATGGGGTGTGACATGAGGGGTTCAGATTGTTGAGCTTTCCGTGTAGTTTGACATATAACGCATCTGGCTACCTTGTCTTCAATTTGTGCGCTCATTCCGGGCCAAAACAAGACCTGTCGCGCTCGCGATTTTAGCTTCACAATTCCCAAATGGGACTGATGTAGGACATCGAGCATGTCCTTTTGTAAGTCGGCCGGTACTACTAGTCGGCTTCCTTTCAATATGAGGCCATCTATTTCTGTCAACTCGTCCCGGAATGAGTGGTATGGTAACACATTGTGCGGAATGTCGCGTTTACTTTCTGGCCAGCCCTCGAGTATGAACGCGTTGATCTGCTTGAGGACTGGGTCGCGTTTCGTCTTCTCACGGAATTGCTCTAGTCTGCGGTCAGACATGTGCATTACGCAATCGACAGTTTCTATTCCGATATCGGTGGTCGGTTCGCAGTGGCGCGCTGGCCTGTTTGTTGGCAGTAGCCTGCTCAGTGCATCGGGCACGAACATTTCTTTACCTGGCTTCCATCTTAAGTCTATGTCATACATCATGAGGTGAAGTCTCATTCGCTGTAATCTTGGACTAAGCTTATGTAGCGGTTTATTGAAGATGCCAATTAGGGGCTTGTGATCAGTGAATATCGTTACCCTTTGTCCAAAGATGTAGTCATGAAATTTCTTGCATGCAAAGAGAATCGCGCTCATCTCTTTTTCGATTGGGGCATAGTTGTGTTCGGCATCGTTCACACGCCTTGACGCGTAGGCTATGGGGCTAGAGTCGTCTTGCATTAATACGGCACCTAGCCCTTGATTCGAGGCATCTGTTGCCATGGAAACGGGTTTCTTTTCGTCATACAATTTGAGAGTGGGGGCAGACGTTATCTTGTTCTTAAGTGCATCTACTGCGTGCGCATGTTCGGCCTCCCAATGCCATGCAACGTTTTTCTGAGTGAGTTGTCTTAGAGGTTTCGTAATTTCCGAAAGTTTGGGGATGAACTTTCCGAGGTACGTAATCATGCCGAGAAATGTTTCTACCTCTTTCTTGTTAGTCGGATACGGGAGATCCACGACCGATCGGATTCTATCCGCACTGGGCATTACGCCTTCCGGTGAGATGATATGTCCCACATACTCAATCTTATCGGTGCGAATAACCGATTTCGCCTTGTTGAGTTTTAGGCCGGATTATCCCACTTCTGACACCATGTGATATATTGGAGGCAAGACAAATGATACACGTCCGACACGGATAAGTTCCAGACTAGGAGTGATCTTTATTAAAGGGGTTTCACTGTGGCCCTGTAGGCTCATTACATAACTTTGTCTGGCATAAACATATACCAGTAGGTGGCGCTATTACATACATTGATATGGATTTACGTTGATCAAGATACATCACAATAGTCTATATATCCAGTGTTATGTAACAAAAAGAGAATAGTATTTCAAATTAAAACACTATCCGCACACAGTTCCAACTCACGCTGGCCCTGTCCTTTCTAAGATGCCTTCTTACCAGCCCAGCGAGTTACGACTAAGCCGTACGCTTCTCGGTAGATAAACTCAACCTAGGTCACTCTGGCATAGACAGGGGGGGGGGGGGCGTCGTGTACCTGTATGTTTAGAGGGTTTATTTGTTTACATTATAGGAGAAAAGCAACAGCAAAATCAGGCAAAAATCAAAACACTTGTGGGCTTTATAAATTTATATGAGTTAGTACACGAGATTATTTATATAGTGCATGACTTCTAATTGCTATTATTATTTTATTTGTTTTTAATTTTTTTTTTTTTTTTTTTATTTAAAGTAGGCCTTAATAAAAGATATACAATCCAAACTTCAAATAATTAATACGCTAATAGGCCTAAATAAAGTTATACACAACATACCTATTTTTCTCTTCTATTCAATTTAAAATTGATTGCAGTTTCTGTTTTTCTTTCTATTTTGTTGTTTTGTTGTAATTTAACCCTCTATATAATCGCTACGTGATTGTGTTTTGTTGGTTTTTTCTCGTTATTATTTGTTTGGTTAAAGACACCATAGACGTTGTTGGCGAGTGGAATGAATGAATGAATGAATGGTAAAGCGGTAATTTATTTGTCAAGATTCCTGAACAATGGCGTCTTTGGTAACAGAAGTGTTAATGAATACAGGTAAATAAATCTATTGAAGTATTTCACATATTTTTTTTAGATCATCTGCCATCTGTAAATGGATAAGATAGAGAGCAGTACACCTCTGTAGGCCTACTACTAACTAACGACGTTGTACCGTAACTGCTGTCGTCTGTCAACGCCAGCGCGCTAGCGCCACACATAGCTGTAGACTAGACCTAGAGGTCTAGAGTACCGAAGCTAGCTGTGACGTCATAAAAATCTGTTTTTAGAATTTCTAAATTTGTTCTTCATTTTCCGAAAGAGCATCAAACATTATGTCCAAATGTCGGAAATCAATTGAATATGTTAAGTATTGGCTGAGATATGACCATCTTAAAAAAAGGAACTCGGAGTCGGACTCAGTCTGTGTTATTTGCTCTGGCTCTGCCCCCACTCCCGAAAAAATAGACTGATTTGTTTGGTCTGTAGTCAGTGTAGATCTAGTCCCATAAAAAGCATACACTAAAAATAATATTTTCCTGATCTGAAGAATAAATCAATGTGCAATTTTATGTTTTTTAATGTTAGCAAGGGGGGTGGGGGCAGGCACACCAGTATAGTATGAAACTATGACTAGCTAACTCCCATTTCAGGTGTTGGATATGTACAGGTCTAGGTCTGCTTGTAATTTGTTGTATTGTATTGTTGCTCTTATTCTCCCTTCAGGTTTGCTGGAGAAGGAGGACCTAGCCACTCGCATCGATAAGGTATCAACCCAGATCGGCGAGTTAAAGGCGGAGATCAGCCATGCCCTGAGACAGCGCTATGTGGACTTCATCCCGTCTCAAGACAAGATCGAGAAGATGCACACAAGGGTCAGGTCCTTGGATACTGAGATGCAAGACCTCGGGGACAAGATACAGGTAGAAAGGAGGTTTACAGTTAGCACGAGGGGGGTGTTTCACAAAGATCCCAAGTCAAACTTAACTCTAAGTTGGACTTTAAAATAATGGAGAGCCTTTTTTAGCCTTGAAATAAAAAAATTATTCAAAAGTAAAAATTCAAGTATTTTAGACTCAAATATATAAATATAAATTCCACATCAAGAACATGAAATCTCCTTGATAATAGAAAATATGAATGATTTGAATAAACATTTTATGCCTTTTAAAATAAATTTTACAAAATATTTTCATAGATGCTTATGGCTTTCCATAATTGTTAAGTCCAAATTAGAGATAAGTTCAACTTAGGATCTTTGTGAAACACCCCCCTGTACATACAGGTAGAATACCCTATCACATTGATGAGACCCATGCGGATGAGACCAACATCATTTTCAAACCGACAACAGATGAGCAAAAAATGACCAGAGTGGCCCGAAGTGCACAGTGTTTAGTTATTTGTGAGTCAGTTTGGCAATGTGAGGTACATAGTCCTAAGGAAGATTAACCTGTAATTTAAGATACACTGCAATTAATAGTCCTAATAGGACTATTAATTGCAGGTTATCTGAAACAAGACACTTATTTCCTTGACCACTACGTTGAAATAAATTTAGGGATTGTTCACATATTTACTTTTTTTATGATGGCTTTACTAGCAGAAAACCACTTTTATTGCAAGGAGTCTTATCACAATTTACAGCATTAAATATTTATTATGGCAAGTTGTGTTGTGTCAACCTTTTTGTGATTATAGTATTGCCTCAAAGTGCATTAAAGATAAAGACCAGTTATGGTCATGCGATTGCATTGTGAAAGAAACGTTGTGGAATCGATCAGAAAAGGTTGATCATCTAGCATATAAGTATTGGTGTGTTCTGCAAGGTTCTGGAATCATCAAAATGATCAGAAATTTGGCTCAGTCGTGGTAAAGTTACAAGCACTGTACACAGAAAGATGTATATGGGATTACGCGACACGTGTGCGATATCTATCAGGTCCAAATAGATATAATACTTTACCAAATATATCAAATAGTAGGCGGTTTCTCTGCAAAATTTGTATCATTACCTATTAGTCAAAACATATTCTTTCACATGATTGGTAATAAGAGCTTCCATTTCATTTTTTGAGAGGGGGGCGTTTCCAAAACTGGTCTTTACCTTTAAAGACAACTCCATGTATATGATATTAAGGGACTCAATTACCATGGCCATGACTTCTAGTATCAGCAGGTCCCATCACGGCTTCAGTGCACTATCGCACCGCTACAAGGTATGCTTTATTCAGTCACATGCATTGGTTTCCTCATTTACACTTCCTAGACTCAGCTCACAGCTTAACCCGATGACTACTAAATTGTATAGGTCCCATAGTCTTAACACAGGGACCACCAGGTTCCCGTAAGCAAAGGGTTAAGTTTGACGGAATGAAGCATGCCAGGCGCGAAAGTACATTAGCACCCTCTACGCTAACAGAGTTCCAGACTTTCATTCCAGTACATGTAGGTCTCCAACTTCAAATCGTGACCCCCCCCCCCCCCCCTCCCCCTAAAAAAGTGTGAATGGAGGGCAATCACATATAGACCCGATAAATTTCAATGCAAACCCCCTATGAAGAAAAGTTAGTACTTGACTCTGCCTATCAATATATGTGCATTCTTCGTTCTTGTTTCTTTCTGCCAGGGGGACATTCGTATAAAGCTGAGAACATCTACTAGTGATGTGGTAGAATTAAGCAAACAGCTTGACCAGTCTAATGCGACCATTGCAGTCCTTACAACACTTTGCAAGGTAAGTCTATGTATGTGATGTATTATTTTTCGTTCAATTAATCTGAATAAGATTAATTAATGCATTATTCACAGCTCTTGGAAATGGAGGTGAATTTACAATTTCCATACAAGTATAAATTACCAGATGGCTGGGTGTTATTGACTGCCCAAAATCACCTTGGGAAGCATCAGTATCTTGATATGATGGCCTGGGATGGTATTCTGAAAACATGTATGTCAAGTCCCAGAGTTAACAAATCATTAAAGGGATCCGGTAACTTTGTCTCAGATTCTGAAACAAAATTCTGGATTTAGCTCATGCTGCAATGATAATTATAAACCTTTAGGTCATTTAGGAACCCCATGACTTTTACAAGCCGATCGCCTTTCTGATTATCAAGGTATTTATGATTGGAATTACAAATTTTAAAAACTGTTTGCCAAACAGTTTTCATAACACTACAGTCTATTGGCGAAAAACGAGTATGGTAAAACTGGTCACTCAAAGATTTTTACTTTTTTTAAGGCACTTCATGATCATTTTGAAGCGCATTGTTTTAAGGGCTTCCATATTACACCATATCACAGACACAGACAACACGTAGGGCCATGTATCTCAGATTTGTAAAACTGGAAACATTGTTGAACAATGCCTTAATATGTTATCTTTTTGTAGCTTACATCCCGAAAAATCCATTTCTCATTGATTCTCTAATGACAATCACTGTTAGCATGTACTCTTAGCCAAAAAATAATATGAATATTGCCCTCCTACCATGACAGGCACACAAGGACATAAAAGAGTTCAACACAGGGATACTCTATGAGGAGTATGTACAGGCTGCTGACATCTTGCATTCGCTGGTAAGCTGTTTAAACAACAATGAACTTCATTTTTTTTGTTACCTCTTTAAGATTACCAGGAATGAGCCATTGTGTTACTGGTACTGTTTGGGAAAGGGAACTCTGTGAAATGCATACTAAAACCTTTTGCATCAAGAAACTTTAATATGCAAGTAGTGAAGTGTTCCAAATAAATGAATTTCTCCCACTCACAAAATTTGGAACATTTTCTCGCAAACAAAATTTCCTGGTTTTACAGTACTGTAACAATTATATTGCTATCCATCTTTTGCTTGTTTTACAACCAGTATACGATTTCATGCAAAGATAATATGATGTGGTCACAGGATCATAAAAGGAGAAAACAGTCTTGATTAAGGGTACTTTGTATGATTATGACATTTTGTTTTGCTGTGTCTAAGCTTATGACTCATTAAATTATTTCAAAGATTTATGATTTGGAATGTATGAATTACATGTACAGTAAAACTTGAATCTAAAGACTTCTCATGGGAGGCAAGGAAAGCATTCTTTATAGGCAAGTGGTGTTTATGTACTCGCTATCTTATCGAGAAACTCTGCTCATGGTCGACAGAAATTGCGGTCTTTAAAGACAGATTATCTTTCTACACAGGTGGTGGATCAAGCAAATATGACTTATATAACACTTCACTGCCACATATTTAAAGGTTTATTTTCAAGAAATCTCTTTTTATTCTATTTCGACCCCGTTCTTTTTTTGACAGGAGGGCCAGCTCAACATGCTGTATAGATCCGGATACCATGAGATGAAGATAGTGCAGTCACTGAAAGTAAGAACTCTTTTAATTACCATTCACAGAATTCTATCTGTACAAGCTATGTCACACATTGAAACTAAAGTATGATTTTAGGAACTCATTCACAGTAAATGATATGTCAGGCGTTTAACTTATTATTATTTAGGTATTCATAATAATTGATATTTAAATGCTATGTCAGGCATTGAAAGAGGTTTGCTTTTTGAGGTACCATTTACAGGTATGGAACTTTCAAATGATATCTGCTATGCCAGGCACAAGTGCTTATAATGAAGACAAGTTGTGTGGATATGTTTGAAACCGAGTCTATGTGCATAATGCAATTTGTTTAGATAGAACCTAATGCCATAGGTCCTTTGGTTGCTTGTCTACAAGCCTAAACTTTGTTTAATTGCAGTAGGGCTGCGACGAGTAGTCGAATGCTCGAGTACCCGCACGGTTGACAACTACTCGAATATTCGGCCACAAAAAAAAAAAAATTCCCAGGCCAACGGTTACCCGTGCCAGGGAGAGCGGAGGCCGCTGGCATGGTGTCGTCTGTAAAAATGTTTCGGAACTCAAGCACTGTCAAACTCACCACTCAGAAACTGGGACTAATGTCCAGATTTCTGTTTGGACTTGGAGGAAAATGGATTATTCTGCCATCTTTGGTTTTTAAAACAGCATTGTTTACTGTTATTATTATTATTAAATCGGCGCCTTCAACTGCAATTCGAAGTAAAATTGCATGCGTTTTCGACGATGGACTTGGGATACTGCTCCAGTGGTATGGTGGTGGCAAAAAAAAATCCAAAAAAAAATAAAAAATTATAAATAACATGGCATCCGAATATTCGAGTATTCACTTGTAAGCCTGGGAGTGTACTTGGGTACCTCATTACACTGTTGTGCACAGCCTTAATTTGCAGTCAGGTGTCAGAAACTCAAGGTTCAAAGCTGCGTTGCGCTCACGGACTGGGTGAACAATATTATGATTTATTTATTGTCTGCAATATTTTGTATGTGGCTCATGATGCACCATCACTTGAACCCTGTTTTTCAGAGCGAGGAAACCGTTGTGAGGGAAACATTATTCTTCCATCTTGGAGAATCTTGGTCGAAGACTGTCATGTTTAAACCTGTGGAGGGCGGTAAAGGAAAAGCCTCAAAGTCCATTATTAGCCCTCAGCTTGTTGTAGGTAAGTATATCTCAGATTAAATTGATGAAGTCCGGTTATCTGTTCTGTGTATACATCATTTTCTACCAGACACATCATTCTGTTTCCCCCTTTATTTTCAACATTTTCCTTGGCAATTACAAAATATTTTGAGATTTGTCAGCATAAATAAATCTGTGAATTACAAATTTAGGTACTCTTTCATGAGAATCATCTTCAACTCATGGTATTTTTTGTGAAGGATCATTGTAAACTTCAGCACTAGATATTTGATTTTGCCAAAGTGCAAGCGTTTCAGAGAGCACTTTATAGGGCGCTGTATCCTATACCATCACAGCTTTATCATTAAAAAAATGAATAGAAAGCAAATTTCAGAGAGCTCAGCACTCTATAGGGCACTGTATCCTATACCATCACAGCTTTATTATTAAAAAAAATGAATATAAAGCAAATTTCAGAGAGCACTCTATAGGGCACTGTATCCTATACCATCGCAGCTTTATCATTAAAAAAATGAATAGAAAGCAAATTTCAGAGAGCTCAGCACTCTATAGGGCACTGTATCCTATACCATCACAGCTGTATTATTAAAAAAATGAATATAAAGCAAATTTCAGAGAGCACTCTATAGGGCGCTGTATCCTATACCATCACAGCTTTATTATTAAAAAAATGAATATAAAGCAAATTTCAGAGAGCACTCTATAGGGCGCTGTATCCTATACCATCACAGCTTTATTATTAAAAAAATGAATATAAAGCAAATTTCAGAGAGCACTCTATAGGGCGCTGTATCCTATACTATCACAGATTTATTATTAAAAAAATGAATTTGAAGCCAGTTCTTAAAAAAAAAAAAAATTCTGAGGAATGCCATTTGTCTATTGACCTTCTTGTATCCATTTCTATTCTCCATCCAATGCAGTTCAAGCTGAGAAGTTTCAATGCACTCTCCAGGCCATGGAAACCACAGGCTGTCTCACCAACAAGCTGGAGAGTTTCAGTGAGTCTTGAGATACACACAGAATGGAAAGAATAGCATGTGCATCTATTCTATTTTGGGGCTAGCCTCGTACTGATTGCAACCTTTATTCAGTGCCCCAGATGATCGTTGCATAAAGAGCAAATTTAGAGATAAATGACACCGGTATAATTAGGGAATGAAATGAATGCAAAAACATTAACATTAACATTAAAGTTTACCAATCTCCACAAAATTGGTTTGAATGTTAGTAGTTCCATTGTGTAAGACTACATTAAAGATAAAGGTGAGTTCTGGTAATGCAATTGCATTGTGAAAGAAAAGGTGTGGAATGGATCAGAAAAAGTTGATCATGTAGCATGTAAGTATCGGTGTGCACTGCAAGGTTCTGGAGTCATCAAAATCATAATAAATTTGGCCCAGTCTTGGTAAAGTAATAAGCACTGTACACAGAATGATGTATATGGGACTACACAAATGGTGTCTGGGCTACCTACCTTAATTTCCTTATCTTGCTATGCTCATTACTCAGCCAGTATACATTTTCTTCCAAAATTGTTTGGCAGATGACATTTTTTTGTAACCTTGAACATTCAGTGTAAGTTTCGTTTGATTCTGTGAGAATTCATTTCCTTTTTTTTTACCAGAACTCAAGTTTATCTTTAAAGACTATTAGTAGACTACTATATTTAATACTATACTAACAACTTTGCTAGGGTAATAATTATCCAAACCTCTATGGAAGTGCCTCACAAGAACAGTTATCATGATAATTTATTATTTAGCCAGTCTTATCAGTGCCCTCATACTTCTAATTTCAGGTAAGAAGTTACTTGAGCATGTACTCCACCCAATCATCAGGAGAGCCGATGTCCTTCCCGCCACAGATTCAAATCCACAGGTGAATATTTCTCATCAAAATATTGCCTTGATAAATTTGTTGCTACTTTTGTTTATAGCTGAAACTTGATAACATGGCTTTTTATGATTTCATGACTTTATAACCTTTATTCAAACTTTGTTACAGCACTTTGTTATAAAGGTACCTCATAGAGAACAGCAAAAACTTGCTTTGCCTTTAAAAAAAAAGGGGGTGGGGGAATAGAATTATCATTAACATGTATGAATAAGTGAATGATTAATTAGTGATGCCCCAAGGGTTTATTCTTGTGAGACAGTTTATAAATCCGCCCCCTTCTTCAAATGGGAACAAAATGTAGCACACAACATGGATTTTTACCGTTCTTTCTTTATTGTGTGTGTCACAGAAAGTGACAGTAACCATGGTGAAGTCGAAAGTTGAGCAACTGTCCTCCATCCCGTCTCCAAATGCTGTCTTTGACAGTATCCTCAAGGTCTTTGAAGCCCTTGGTCCGCCCCTCTTGAGCCACATGGTGAAGCGAGGGGACCGTGGTCGGGAGGCACAAGTCATCAGTATCATGAGTATTCTAGGTAACTTTGAAAGTCCTCTAGTTGCAATTCATGTGTAATTCATTCAGATTCAGAGTGTACAAGATTTAAATGCTAACATGAATGAAAAGAATTGTAAAGATGGTGTTGAGAATGAGACATATTCATTCCATTTGAGGAGATGGCATAGTCAAGTGGTTTGACACTTGACTGGATATGTGAATGATATGTGGTTTCGATCCCCAGCACAGCACTCTTGTCTTTCAGAAAGGCATAATGTCTACGTTGCCTCTCTCTACCCATGGTTACCTGGTAATATGCGAAAGTTATTGTAGTATGCTCAGCATTGTTGGCATCTGTAACTTGAGACCTGGCTGGAATACTTCCCAAGGAGTGAAGAAGGTAATGCATTGTGTGTGGGTAAGCTTGAATCTGATGAGCAGAATAATGTGTCTGTAAAGTGCGTAAGAGACATTTTAGATATACCAAGTGCTGCATAAACCCAGAATATTGTTGTTATTCTTGTACAGCTTTTAACACCAAGGAAATACAGTTATCAGGAATATTGATGAATTTTCTCTCAACTGGAATTACTCTTCTACTCTTTCAGGTTCTCTAATCTGGCCAAGCATGTCTAAAGTCCTCATCAAGGATTGCTTAACTCCCTCCATACCAGTCACTAGTACAGAGGTATGATGTATGATGGTGTTCATTGTAGCGTGAAATGTCTATATTTTTTCATGTAGTTTTGCCACGTGCTTGTAGTAGTTTGCCGTGTCATCATCTGCTCCAGGCTAGGGATAAAGTTACAATTAAGTTTTAGGTTAGATTTAGGGTTAGAGCTCGGGCCAGGTGTAGTGTTTAATCTAGGGTGACAGTCTGCAAATCAACTAGCATGAGTAATTCACCACAGAGCCTCAAATATTTCAATCTTTATCTGAACTCGTTACTTGCTATCAACAAATTTCGAATTGAAAGTGTCAAAAAATTAATATGTTTGAGAAATATTAACATTATTTGATATTTCAAACCTACATGTTTCTCTCTCACAGTCTCTAGAGCTCACTAATACTTATTTTCTTGTTTCTCTGGTTTTTCTCTTTCACTTCCACCATCTATGTCTCTTTTTTGCTTTATTTAGTTGGATGACTACAAATTGATATTCGATGCAACAAGGCAGTTTGAAGAGGCACTTCAAGGCTTAGGTTAGTCGATTCAGATGGATTTCTATTGCTTTGAGCCCTATACACTGTACAATGTGACTTAACTCGAAATAATTTCTGATTGCCATAAGATATCTTGAAAGTGAAATATTCACATTCAAGATTGTAATTAATCTTATGAATTAAAAAATTAAACATCAATCGGCTCTGTAAGCCTTCAGGCTCACAGAAAAGCTCTAAATAGCTGTAGTATGTGGGATGTATTTTTGACAGCTCTGCAGCACTGCATCAAAGGAAATTTGGCAATCTCTCTGGAGAAAAAGTTAGGAGATGCCCCATTTCGTATTTCTAATATTGTATGCCTTCTAGTCCAGACTCGTCATAGAAGAGCTGTTAATTTGATTTTAAATGGACAACATTGATTGCTACTTTACTCCAATCCTCATTGTCTCTGAATGATATAGTGGTACTCCATTCTAATACATTCCTGCATATAGATATGTCACAGTACATGTTCCAAGTCACTTCCAAAGTTGATGTAAGGTCTTTTTCATTATTTTTTTCTTCTTTCAATTTAGGCTTCATTGCACCGGATTCACACCCTCTAACAGACTACGGCATGAACGTCAATGTCCATTTTGCCAATAAAAGGGTAAGTGATATATATACCATTGTCCTGCACCAAGAACTGTTGGTTGAAACCAGGAGACTATTTTACTCACCCACATAAATTGATTTTCTGGCTTGACAGTCATTTGTGTGAGTGGGTAAGTGGTTTTAGACAGACCTTAGTTTGCTTTATAGATTTGTCATATAGAATAGAAGTCAAGTTATATGAACAGAGATGCAAACTGTCGCGGGTGTGAGCCCTGGTATGGATGTCCTTTGGCAATATGTTAATATTAATTTGCCACTCCATAAACAGGGGAGCAATGGTGACCTACATGTCATAGTAGGATTGCAGTGCCATATATTCCTTTACAATGACCATATGACTAGAATGCTCCCCGGAGAGTGGAGATGGTTATACAAATAATACACAGCAGTGAGGGCATTAGTAAGAATTACCCACACAAGGTACCTTTGGAACAGTATAACCACGCCCAAGGCGATAGCAGAGGATGTTTGGACTGTTTTGAAGGTACTGAGTGTGGGTAGTTTTACTATTGCCCAAACAAAATGATGTGTATTATTTGTTTTAGAAGATTATGTTTTATTTGTCTTATAAAATAATGTTTTGTAACATGATTTTACTAATGACTGGTCATTATCAAAATTATGTGTTAGGCAAAATAAATGCCTGGTCATGTGTACGCTCTCAACCAATCATTGATTAGGAGGGTCATCTGACATCATCTTATAAAATTGTTTAAGATATGATTTATGTGATTGAATCCAATGACTGGATAATAACATTTGAAAGCACTCACAACTATTGCTCCATATTAAACATGATATAATCCAGATTTCTCATTATTATTATATCTGAATTACTGGTTATTTATTTGATGCAGTGTCAAGCATTGCTAGTTGAAGCTAGGAGACTGATGCAGCAGGATCTTCATAACACAGTGGAAGTTGGAGGGATAAAGACAAGTGCAGATGAAGAGGTATTTATTTTGCAGTATATGTTTTCTACTTTTCTAATTTACAAGTTTTTGAGACTCATTGACAAAATGTCCCTTTCAAATTGTTAATTTTTTTCTTTTCCATTTCCATGCAGGTATGTTTAGTTCAAAGGTATTATTCTTTGTTAGAACAGCATAGCAATACAAGCATTACATTTTATTGTTGCCAATTTGAAAACTAACTTTCTAATGTGTTTGCCTCTGCCTTTGTGTAGGGGTCCGCTGAAGAGAAGAATCCACTGGGACCAGGGTTGGCAGCCTTCCCACGTTGCCTTATCACTGAGAGTGTGCAGAAACTACTTGACATGTGCAAGCAGACCTTGTATGAGGCTTCTACTAGTCAGGAACAATGGTATGTACTATTGAGAGGGAGAGGGAGAGGTAGAGAGGGAGGGAGGGAGGGAGGGAGGGAGGGAGGGAGGGATGCCTTATCACTGAGAGTGTGCAGAAACTACTTGACATGTGCAAGCAGACCTTGTATGAGGCTTCTACTAGTCAGGAACAATGGTATGTACTATAGAGAGAGAAGAGTGAGGGGGAGGGAGAGAGGAAGGGAGGGAGGGAGGGTGGGAGAGAGAGAGAGAGTGACTGCAGTATACTTCACGCACAGTATTTACGCTGTGTTTTACAGCTAGCTAGCCTAGTAATGTCCTTTGGCAAGACATTGATCTACATTTGCCACACTCCACCCAGGTGAATTAAATGGGTACCTGGTTGGAATTTATTCCTTGAAACGCAGCGCGCGTAACAGCTGCACTGCTAAAGCCAGGGTAATTATGCTGCATTATTGTAGAGCGCTTAGAGACTTCTGACAAAGTAAGTGTTAGGCGCTATATAAGCACTGTAATTATTATTATTATTAATTCAGATTACAGGGCCGGCGATCGCGAAACGGGCTACTCACTCGACTTTTTACTGAGGTGTGATGAGCCCGCCCTTAAACATGTATGTTTGCATTTGCATCGCAGCAATTGTGATTCATAAAAAAAGATGTGTAGCAAATGGCAGAAAATGTGTCGCAAATTGCGATGCGATTCCGGGAAAATTATTCCCTGCATTTTTGAGTTCCAAATCCCTCCCTCCCATATAGATACTCTGTGAAATATAACATCACTCAGGAATTTTGAATCTGTCGGTTCATACATTGTTACATTGAACTGCAGTGCATGCATTATTGTTATGATTACAATGGATATTACCCTGTGGCTTTTCATTGCAGTTGTGCAATGTATTCAGTTGTTTTTGTATGGAATTATTGATACAAATCAAGTTTTAGCTACGCTCCTTTTATCTGTGTTTTTTAATTTTTTCCTTTGCAGTTTTCAGCTGTTTTTCACAGTGAGGAACATGCTGCAGCTCTTCTGTGAGGTGGTACCTCATTATCATAAAGCAAGTCTAGTAAGTATTCAAATAAGCATTGCCTAATTCGATTTACTTTGTGAGAAATAAGTGGAATAGACGTTTATTACTATTTATTTTGCTATCCTCTTTGTAGATGTCCTTTACCATCTTCTTTTGCACGTGCTATTGTTTGTCACACAAGAAGTAATAGGAAAGGGAAAGGCTTTTAATCGGCCCCGTCTTATTAAGCGTTGCCAATCCCAAGTCCTCCAATCACTTCCAAGTTTGCAGTCTCCTATTCTCTTATGTACATACTTGCGATGGATATCAATCACAAATAAGTTGCGATTAATGTCAACTCTTTATAAGACAGGGCCCAAATGTTGTGCATTAATGGAAATGTAACTCTTAGTTATTATTCTTTCATTTTTGTGCATCACCTCCACAGTTTTAACTTTCTCAAGCAGTAATCCTCCGCCGTGATAAATGTTTCTGTTGTTTTTCTGCATAGCCCCTGTTGTCTCAACTACCTTGAGCAGTTGCCCTTCATCATATTAACCGTTTCTTTTGTTTTTGCAATCTCAACTACATTGAGCTTCTGCTCTTCAGCACAATATGTCTCTTTTTTTCCCCCTCTCAAATGTTTCCTATTTTCTTTTCTGTGTCACCTCCGCAGTCTCAACTACCTCGTGCAGCTGCCCTTCATCATAATAACTGCATGTACATCAGTCATCATCTCTTAACCTTGGGTCATCGCTACCAGCACACCTTCCCATCCCCGCTGTCGGACGGAGCCTCCATATTTGTTGACCTTGTACCCGTGTTCAGGAAAGAGGCCGTCACACCCTTCCTAGCCCAAATGGTGAGAAATGGTTGTTGTATTACTTGTTTCATTTCCACCTGTCATGTTTTGACTACAAAATTCCTTTACATACAAAACTTGTTGCTTTTTAAATGAGCATTAAAGGGATCGTTTAACAATGTTAAATCTGAGATACACAGCCCTACGTGTTATCAGTGTCTGTGATATGGTGTTATATTGAAGCCCTAAAAAATTGCGCTTCAAAATGATCAAGAAGTGCCTCAAAAAAGTAAAAATCTTTGAGTGACCGGTTTGACCATACTCGTTTTCCCCAATAGACTGTAGTGTTATGAAAACCGTCAGGCGAACGGTTTTCAAAATTTGTAATTCCAATCATAAATATCTTGATAATCAGACAGGCGATCGGCTTGTAAAAGTCATGGGGTTCCTGACTTACCTAAATGTTTATAATTATCATTGCATCATGAGCTAAATCCAGAATTTTGTTTCAGAATCTGAGACAAAGTTACCGGATCCCTTTAACCATTCAATATACACCCTTTCAGCCCAACGATGAGAGTTCACTCATTGAGTAATTAACCTGTTGACTTCTGAATTCATATTTTTCTTATTCGTTTAATAAAGGAACCACCCCGTTCTTGGAGGCAATGGGTTTACTAAAAATTATTCACTACTTTGTATCCATAGGAAAAGGTGCTCGGTATTAAAATCTGATTATTATTGTCTTTGTTATTGTAATTATATGAATTAATCTCATTGTTATCATTTTCATCATGTTTATTTTAATTGACAGAGATCTCAACGAGACCTACTTCTTGAGTCTGTACGGATAGCTGAAGGGTTCCAGAGGGTGGCCGATGCAGAGAATGTGACGTCTGCTAACCGTGCTATCAAACAGGTAGGTTAGGGGGAAGATGCAAAGAGGATAAATAATCTGTTCCATCCTCAAATTGGCAACAGTGTGTTTTTTCTTTCACTCTTACATTCTTAATTCAAAATATACCTTATGCAATGTTAACATTTATGAATAGAAATTACTATGTGCAACAAAAAAAAGAAAAAAAAAAGAAAAAAGGGCAATGTGTGTAGAAAAGTAGAATTTCGAATTCCATTAAATGTTGCTTATTTAAAGCCCCACTGTCCTACTTGTAGCTACGATACTTGCTCCCTCTATTTAGAAAACTTCCCCAATTGGTGCCTGTTGGTCCCCCATGATCGTCTATTTCTTATGTTATTTGAGAGCTGAGTTGATGAGATGGCCACCTGTCAGTGACCTCGCTGTGTGGTCTAATCCCTTCTGGCCAAACTAGTACACATGAGCTCTAAAGCTGTCAGATTAACTTTCCTGAAGAAGATTTTACTTATGGGCTGCATTATGCACACTACATGAGTCATCAGTCAGCCAGTTGGGTTTTATGATCCCCAACTTCCCTTATATTTTGTATTATATCCACATGCATGTATACATTTTTAATGTTTTTAAAGAGAGCAAAATAATTTACCTAAAATATGAAATGGGGGAAAATGAATATTTATTAGTCAGATATGCTTAAAAATAACAAACAAACAAATGAAGAATAAAGACAGGCCATAGGTCAATTGCAGGTTCAGTAAAGATCAGTGTTGATTCTTTTTTTTTTCTTCAAGGTGATTCATCGATGGACCCATCTCAAGGCCGTCTGGGCCGAAGTGCTACCTGACAATGTTTACACAAAAACCATGGCAACGCTGGTCAACACGGTTCTCATGCACGTAGTAGAGCAGATCACTAGACTTGAAGTAAGGGCACGATATCTATGAAGATGTTTATCACTTACCAGGGTCGTCTATGGGGAGTTTGATTCTGATTTTAATCTCTATTTTTTACTCTTTAGTAACAAGATAATAGTTCGTTTGAGAGTTGCAGAGATCTGGGGGGTGTTTCACAAAGACTAAGATCGACTTTAAGTTGGACTTAAATATGGCAGGCTGTTCATGCCACTAGTTGCTTTCACCATTTTGATCTTTAGAATATATTATTTTCCTTCAATAATGAATTATCAAAAAGTATAAGTTCTGTAGATTTGTGACCATGATTTGTACGTCCCTTAAGAGACCAATGCCAGTAAATGATGAGCGCAAACAATGGCATAGACGGCCTGCCATAGTTAAGTCCAACTTAAAGATAAACTCCAGTACTGGTAAAAAAAAAAAATTAATTCTCACAGAATCAAACGAAACTTACACTGAATGTTCAAGATTACAAATAAATGACATGTGCCAAACAATTTTGGAAGAAAATGTATACTGGCTGAGAAATGAGCATAGAAAGATAAGGAAATCATGGTAGTACTAGCCCCGACACCATGTGTGTTGTCCCATATATAGCTTTCTATGTGAGTGCTTGTTACTTTACCAAGACTCGGTCAAATTTATTATGATTTTGATGACTCCAGAACCTTGCAGTGCTCACCAATACTTACATGCTACATGATCAACTGTTTCTGATCCTTTCCACACCGTTTCTTTCACAATGCAATCGCATTACCAGTACTAAAGTTTATCTTTAAAGTTGGTCTTAGTCTTTGTGAAACATCCCCCTGTTATGATTGCAGAATTGTAAATTGGTAATCATGATGCAATATTGCCAATTTGCTATGGCTCTGTAGGCATACGTATGTGTTAAAGATGTAAATAATGGTTTGTTGGATGCTCCTAAGGGGACAATGACAGAACTGTTGTTCTTTGTTCCAATGCTTTGTGCATTTTTTAAATCCATATCATTTCAACGCTGTCACACCTAGAACATCAATGGGGAACATCTTTATAGACATATGATCTTAATAAGAAGACTCCCTCCAACGAGTCGAGTACTGAACTCTCTCATTCTGCACAGAATAATTTAGGAAGTGTTCGATTTCCTTACAACTAAATCAGGGTTTCATTCAAAATGGAAAGCTTGAAGGACACGAAATGCAGACTTCAGAGACAGGTCTTTTTTTAAAGGGTCATCTCAGTAGAACGACGACCATGAGAGAATATCTAAAAGGCATATGGGACACAGCCCAAGATACCGAAAAAATAATAAAGTTCAAGAAGATCCATGAGACCGGCAGCCCACGAGACTCATACAACAAAGAAATAGAAGAAGATTTTTAAAAATGAGGTCTTGTGGGGTGTAGATGCCCGTCTACCTGGTAAATTATTCTTCTCACCCTTCTCTTCCATCTTCAGGACATCTCAGCTGATGACGCATCTCAGCTTCATCTCATTTTCACCAAACTGAAAGATGAGACACCTGACATTCTTAAGCCATCAGAATCAGAGGTAAGACTTGGTCAGGTGGTATACCTAAAATTACCAAGTATCACTTTCCCCCCCCCCCCCAAAAAAAAGAAGTTACTCTTCAACTTTTGAAAGTAGAAAGCTAGTGAGGGTCAGGGTAGGGACCATGTTATGGAATTTCTTTGAAGTACTTCCTCTTATGTCTTAATAGTTATTTTTTTTAAATAATACATGCAAAATTCTTGTTATTGTGAAATATAACAAAATTGTGGATGAGAGTGATTTTCACTGCAAGGAACTTTTATGAATTGATAAAAGTTCAGTTTTGTGTCACTTTTGATTCAGTTATTTTGCAATATGAAACTCTCACGAATCTGAATGACTTGAAAAATTCACAAACATATCACACACACAAATATATCAAGTTTTATGGTGTTCATTCAAAATAGACATTTCCTTGACTAAAGATTGGTTGGCTAACATCAGCCATACTTCTGGAACTTCCAGGGATCCATGTACTTAAATTCTAAGCCAAAATAATGAGCAGTTGAACTACTTAAGAAGAACATTGCTATATTGTTGGGTAATACCTTTATGACAGGGCATTATCACAGGCCTGACATTATAGCAGCAAACCTCTTTAGCTTCTGATATCATATTTTCATATTTTTGTTCTCTCTAGGAACCTGTTATCATGGAGGTGATGGTGAAGGAATGGAGGCAGTTTCTAGAGCTTGGTTTCATCCTCGAGGCTTCAATGCAAGCCATAGTAGACAGATGGGCAGACGGAAAGGTATCATGATTAATATACATGAAATATATAATGGTGATAGTTATAAGATGATCATTGTGTAACAATAGTAATTACTATGTTTGTCTTATACAGTAGGCTTACGGTTGCACCATGTGAGAGAGGGGTTGGATTGGGGAGTCCTGAAAAGGATTGTCGCTAATCTTTCTTCCTTGAGAGTGCGTACCGGTAGTCCTGAAAAGGACTGTTGGTAGTCTTGCAAAAAGACTTGGTTATCTTTCTTAGCTTATAGTTCTAAGGAGAACTATAGCGCTTGGAGAGGATGGGTAGTAGGAGTGGCTCGACGTTTCGAACAGGATGACTATCCATCGTCAGAAGTGTTTGTCTTGTTCTACTTACCTTCATTTTCTGCTGCTTGTCAAGGTTTTGGCACAAAAAACCTAAAAGTACCTCATTTGAAAAGATGTTTAGAGAATAGAAAACTATGCAACATCCAGTTATTTATGGATTATGTATATGTAGAGAAGAGATAATGAACTATTCCTTTTGGAAAGAGATAGAGAGAAAAACAAGTTGGCCAGCATGTTATTTAAAAAATAAACAACTTTATTCCCTTTTCACTTGATCATATTCAGGGTCCTCTAGCTCTGGCATTCACAGCCTCCACAGTGAAGGGATTGATCCGAGCACTTTTCCAGAACACCGACAGAAGAGCCAACGCACTCAGTAAAATCAAGCAAACGTCATGAGATCTACCCTATTCATGATGGAGTTTTAAGCTTGGGTATGAACATCATTCAAAGACTTGGACAGGAGAGTCGTTACACTTGAGGATATTCAGATGATGTCACATTTGAGATCTAATCGGAACATGGACACGTCATCTTAGTGGAATGTCGAGCCAGATTTTGAGTTTTGTTCCACAACAAGGTTATGAGAGTCATGGCATTGGGTAAAATCAAGCAGACATCGAAAGAACTATTTGGAACATTGACTTTTAATCATGATGTTTGGATCCAAAGGTTGATGCGTAGTGGAAGTTCAGGTCATGATGATGAAGAACATTTGCTGATGGAAATATTTTTAAAATTCTTCAAGATCTTTATATTGAAAAGAACTGAATTTCTAAGATCCATATTTCGTGGCATTCTGTTGTCTTCATGAGAGGAAATCATCTTGCCTCAACATAATTCTAATTTGCAGCCACCAGACTACTATTGTGAAAGTCTGCAGCTCTTAAGACGAAGTTGTGTATCCAGTTACTATGACAATAACTATCATGGTGCATGTACTAACTTTATGATTAATCCATGCTCTCTTTGGAAAAGTAATAAAAAAAGTACCAGCATAAGTCTACCAACAGTTAAAGGTATATGGAATCATAATGAAAATGGGAGATCTTAAATGAACTGTCTGGATAAGTGTCTGAATATGAAGTGAAATGATGTTGAACTACTGAAATTCTTATTTATTGTGGATTTCCTTTAAGATGGGAACTTAATTAAACTGTGTACCTACATTTGCATGAGATACATAATTTACAACTACATCAAGTAGCCCCCCCCCCCCCTTCTAAAAAAAGTTAACAACAAGAAATTGATATGTTGCCTTTTGCTGCAGTAGAGCTGTATGAAATGCTTTTGTCTTCCATAAAATGTGAATAAAAAATGTGTAATTTATGTTTTGATAAACATGAACAGAATAGATTCTTCAAATTTTAAGAAGTCTGTTTATGAGTATGAACATGTATCTGTCCAAGCAATTGTAACATATGAAACCCTTTTAGCTGTTTAAGGTGCCATATGTTTTGCAAATGATGTTGCAAGGCAATGATGTGCTTAATGTATGTGACCATCACCTTAAATCACCAATAAGTTACAAACCTGATATGGGGGCAATTGAGGGAAAATCGGAATTGTATTTTCAAACAATCTCTTTTCTGTCTTGTGTGCATGAAAACAGGTTTGAAATGTTACATTTTTGTTGTTGTTGTTGTTTTGTTGGGGGGGGGGGGGTCAAATAAATGGGACCTGATTCATTTAGTATCATTTAGTATTCTTATTAACAAGCTATCCAACATAACTTGCTTTTGCTGTGACCCCACCCCCCCCCCCCCCCTCTGTAATTGCCATTACCCCTTATAATGCAACTGTATACACATTTTTAATGGGGTTTCGTTAATTCATGGTCAAAACACCCGCTTCCCCTAAAAAACACTATTTAATCTTATATGGGGGTCATGACCCCCTTATTTTTGTTACACAAGCCCACTGATTTACTTCTCTTTTTCACATGATTGGTGAAGTCTTCCATGTACTTTAACCCTCAGGTTTTGTTGAATTGATTTTCTTGAAAATGGTTTCTTAATAATATTGTACATGTGTAAAACATCATCAAATGAAATGTCAATGCTTCAACAAGTATTGGAATCTCTGCAAGAGTCATGTTCAACGGTACAAGGAAGATGATATATGGTGAAGCAACATGAACAGAAATAATGTAGAGTTACTGTATGTTTCTATGGCATTCTTCCTATTTCTCATTGGAGAAAAGACTTTATACATTTTTATTTTGGGTTGTAAAAATTGTGCGCTTCTAGCCCTCTATGTTATACAGTTAACAATTTAATTATTCATACCCTTTGTAAACTTGATGTTTTGTGTTTTGGTAACTCAAGAATGAAAGCTGGACTGGATTGAATACTTTTAAATGTAAGCTTTGATATTTCTCATGCCCAAGATAAAGAAATTAGGACAAATCAATTTATCACATACTTACAAAATTACAAAACTTGGTAAGGGTATGAATATTTAAGGTGTTAACTGCAAGTGTACCATAGAAAATTATATACATGTAAATGTAGTGTTTAATCCAATCTTTGTCCACACTTACTGCCTTAGTATTTTATTTTGAAAATTTGTTATAGGTTAGGCAGTCGATATGGAAAGAGAGAGAGAGAGATAGAGATACAAATCAGAATTCCTTGTTAAATAGCTTTTTATTTACATGCCTTTCTTTTTATGATTGTTTAATTTTTTTGCTCTGTCAATATATGTATTATCATGTTGATTAAAACAGAATATGAATATGCTGCTTCATCATCGAGTGCTGGCTTATAGTAGACCATTGCAGCTTTGTCAGTATTTAGAGAGAGAGAGAGAGAGAGAGAGACTAGGGGGAAGAAAAAGAGCGAGGGGAGAGAGAGAGAGAGAGAGAGAGAGAGAGTGAGAGAGAGAGAAGCAAAAATTGATAAGACAAGTCCTAAAAAAGACAATTGCTATCTACACTGCCTATTCTTTGGAAAAGTCTTTTTTCTTTCTCTGTCTTTTTACATTATGGAATTAACCAATACTAGATCCTGAAAAATCCTGATCATGAATTGGAAAACATAATACAAGACTCATTTTTGTTTTCTTCCTTTAATTTTTTTTAAAAATTTGTTTATTTTTTACTAATTTTGCGTGTGACCGGGTTGTCAAAACCCCTAAAAATAAAATTAACCTTTTAACCTATTAAACTTTGCCCTGTCTAAATAATCCGGGTGGTCATGAAAGTTCAAATAAACAAAGTGCAAACTTTACATTTTTACACTAGTGTAATTTAGTGTCTTGTAATGAGTTGTGGTAAAATTGAATTAGCCTGTCAACCGGTTTAAAATAAAATAAAAAAACTAAAAATTGTACCCTTACAATGCGAATGTTAATGCACTGTAATGTTCTTGACACGAGGTGGCGTACGTGAAATCCATGTAAGATGTCTGCTCTTCACGATTTACCTTTGAAATGTAGAGACACTGCGGATTGACGTGCGATTTACATGAGATAAATAACTTTATATGCATACGCTAAGATATAAGGCACTGGAAACAGTCAGATTTAAGGTAACATTTTTCGTTTTTGTAGAAACTGAACGTTATCTAAATATTGGTCTCTCTATTGTTGTCCCATGTGTTAACTTTTGTGTTAGTTGAAAAGAGATGAATCAATGATAGACCATTGAGTGACCAGTGACCACTATGGCTATGTCTTGCTGGTGTGGCCTGTGGTATATTGTGACTTTTGGCCTATGAGTGCCACATGCATACCATTAATTACACTGAGTATGGACAGTGCCATGGTGTTATAAATATAATACACATCTGAATTGGCTTTTCATGGATTTAGTTTCAAGTTTGTGGTTAAAAATGTAGAAAAAAAAGAAGAGCTAGTTGCTCATGTGATAGGAAGAAAACTTTATTAGACCTACTATTACTTTTAGTTTGGAGAATCATTTTCTTGTCCATTCTCTACTAGACTATTTTTACATAAACTGATAACCACCAACTACATTCTTTTTTAGGTGAGCTAATGGCCAGACAATCACCTGACCCCATCTTTGTTCTGAGAGGATCGAACCATCCAGTCAGCTGTGTCAAGTTTGCTCAGGACCCATCCACACACAGAGAACACTTCCTTCTCTCAGGGTAAGCAAAGGAAGTGTGGTCCAATGGATAAGTCACTAGACAGTAGATCCCAAGGTACAGGGTTCAAGTCCCTGTACCTTGTGATCCTTTAGTAAGCATCGATCTACATGTGCATCACCCGGGTATATTCCTTAAAATGAAGTATTATGCTCTTTGGAAACCACAGTGACTTTATATCATGATATGGTATACAGAATACAAGAATGAAATATTAGTATTACATTTTTAAGCTGTGAATTCAGAGTCCTTCCTCTCATTACTTCATTCAAGCCCTGAGCAAAGTTTCCCTCTAAAATCAAGTATTATGAAATTAATAACTTCAGTATCAACATTTCTGACACAGACAGTATCTCTTTGTGACTTGTATACAGTAGGCCTGTAGCCTTATACTTGACCCCATGTTTCTCTTTTTTATAACCTTGCATATGCAGTTGCACTAATGGTCAAGTGAAGATATGGGACCTGTCCACCAGGAGATTTACTTTATCACTAGATGGTCATCATGGACAGGGTATCTTGACCGTTGAAGGACTGACCGATGGTCAAATCATCAGGTCTGATATTCAAGTTTGTTTTGTTGTACAGAGTACAAGCTCTTAACGATATGCCACATTGTCTTCCAGAAAGAACAATTTCAACACTTATCCAAATATGGGAGCTCCCATGGATTGAGATGTTCAATTTAATTGAACTCTATTTACATCAAGAACTTCTCTCATGAAGTTATTTGTATGACTCATTTCTGTAAAGTTTTTGTAGTACTGTAAAGCCTCATTCAGATACGATACGACACAGAATACTGCAGTGGTTTATTTATACAATGATGCAAGTGTAATACTCTTCAAATTATGTATATATATATATATATATATGACACACACAGAACTCACAAATACGTATAAGACCCTTGTTGCACTCAGTTGCCATTCTTTTCCATTTAAAAAAAATTGCTGTGGTTTGCAGCTTCATATCTGAAAGAGCCATAAGGGTTAATCATAGATAAAATGCCATGTCAGTGAAAAAAATGTTTTATTTAGTTGCATATATTTTACTGCTACTATTATGTATAACTAAATTAATCATTCCAGCATCTATTTTTATATGGTGTGACTATAGAAAAAGAAATTCACTAAAATATGTATATATGTATTTAGCAGTGGAGATTGGTTAAAGATATTCCTATAGCATCTTGTTATAACATCAAAGAGTTTCAGATGAATTCAATATTTGTTACCAACACTTTGTAATACCTTTAATTGGATGATTTAGCTATTTAAGAGTGCATTGACAAATATTTAACCTCATCATTGCTTTGCTCCTACGTATTATCATTGTAGTCATGGACGTGATGGCTGTGTTCACATATGGGAGGTAGCAGATGGGAGATATGACATCAAGACCTCATTCACATCAGCTACTACCAACTTCTGCCCATGTGTTATGTGGCATCAGCATGGTATGAACTAGCTAATACTCTTCTACACAGTTAAAAGATTACAAAACATTTGTTATGATGCTTTGTAGTAGTATACCGGTAAGAAGAAGAGTAACGATGATGATGATGATGATGATGAGGTTGATGCACAATAGTGGGTTCTTATAAAGCACTCGTGTCTATCATACTTGATTCTCCTGGTGCTCCAATATTAATACCCCAGCTTTAGCATGACTGCTATTATTGCATACCGATACTAGAATCTCAAGGAATTATTTCCTGCCAGGTATATGGTTTAGTGTGGTTAAATGTAGACTTGCCATGGATGTTTAATAGTGAGATATGGCAGGGACTTGTATCCCATACACTACATCACAACTCCAAGACTTTGAATTAACACAGATACTGTAAATTCTCTTCTTTTATTTCCCTTGTCAACAGGTGCAGGCTTCCTTGCTGTGTCTGGAGGTCAAATGTCGGAGGTCAGGGTAATTTCTCTGAAGGATCATCAGGTCATAGCTAAACTGCTGCCACCGGATGGCCATAAATCTCTAGGTAGGTAAAGACTTCATTCAATTCATTCTTCATGATCAGCAACCAGGAAAATGGAAACTTTTGTGGAATCTAGAATTTCCTTAAAGGCATCATTTAACAATGTTTAAGCTGAGATGCATGGCCCTACGTGTTATCAGTGTCTGTGGTATGGTGTAATATTGACGCCCTAAAAATATTGCGCTTCAAAATTATCTAGAAGTGCCTCAAAAAAATTAAAAATCTTTGAGTGACCGGTTTGACCATACCGATACTCGATTTCCCCAATAGACTGTAGTGTTACAAAAACCGTCAGGAAAACGCAAAATTTGATTTAGATTTCCAATCACAAATATCTTGATAAAAGTTATGGGGTTCCTGACTCACCTATAATTATCATTGCAGCATGAGCTAAATCCAGGATTTTGTTTCAGAATCTGAGACAAAATTACACAATCCCTTTAAAACTTTCTACTCATTTATCTTTTGTTTTACTTGATTTAAGATATCTACAGCCATAGTTTTTTTTTATCCTACTCTTCATCTTTAATGCATCTTAATTGATTTTAAATGTAAATTTGGAACAACTAAACGTCAAGCTTTTAGGTTCAGTTACAAACCAAATGGGAGGGTTTCACAGAGCTCCCACTTTGTGATTGATTGACTACAACTCTAAACCTTGACTTTTGGAATTTTTTTTGATTTTTTCCTAAAAAATTCACTGATCTGTTTCTCACTTCTCTACTTCATCAACAAAACCATCATCTTATGCTTTCATGTGCAATGTTATGATTGTTACGTTTTAATTACAATCTCTAGTGATTTGTATCCGATGTGAATCTTCGATCATCATCTACAACATATGTTGAATTGAATTTGAATTGAATCTTGTTTCAGGGTTGACTTTTCCTTTAATGTCTCCAACTATATTTTGTTTCACACAGGTATGCCGATGTGCATGAAGTTCATGGATGAGAAGCAACTCTTGATTGGTTATGAAGATGGAACTGTAGCGCTCTGGGATGTGTCTTCTTGCTGTATAATGAGTGAGAGCAAAGTTCATCAAGAACCAGGTCGGTAGGCCATTTTCCTCTCTTCTTTTGTCTTTAATCTCACTTTGAAAATAACTTAATATTGTCATTTCAAAATTGAAAAAGATGCTAAGTCAGTGACTAATCATAAAGTTTAGGGACTTTCCACATAATTGTTTGTGCACACCATATAGCTACACAGGGTCAGCTGATCATGTGTTTACTATGTGCAATACCAGTAACTCTAGGCACTGTACATGGGGAATACATTACTACAGAACGTCCTTCATTGAATGGATAAATGAAATGCAGAATCGATGTAGACCAAACAAAATTCTTTCAAAGTGTCAACATCAAAGTTTCAAGACCACTATAAATGATTCTCTTCTAACTTGTTCAAATTAGTATGTATGATGTTCTAAAATGTGTTTATGAAATCGATGACATGGGAGGGGTTAACCACATTGGTCTTTCTGTGTATGTTTTGAACCTGCTTAATTAAATATAGGTAGCACATGTTTTTATCATTGTTTTTTTTTCTCAGTGATGTGTCTGGAGTACTGTTCAGCGTCTAATAGAGGTATTTCAGGCTCCTCCACAGATCGGCTTGTTTCATGGTGCATCACACCCGAGGTAATTAAATTTGAACTTGAAGTTATACTTAACATCTCCACTTTCAAGGGAATAGCATAAAATTACTGTGAAAAAGGCATAGCCATAGCCGATTGATACTTGAGTAATTAGGCAAGTCAAATGTGTTTGGTCATTTAATTGCCCGCACGTTATCAAGTGATGAGGAATTATGAATGCAAATTGACCTAAAGGTATGTAGTTTCACTCTTTTCACTCTTTATTTTGTCAGATCCAAGCTCTAGTAAGGCTTAATGATCAATAATATCAATACTATTGCCTATTAAACTGTAGATATGGTCATTAATATATGGGACATATACTTTAGACCTGCCCAATTATTTAGCTGTATTTGTTGTGTGTGTCATGTGTGATACATTGCTATACTGTGGATCAAACGATTCAAAGTCCAAGGTGTGGCACTAGTCCTTTAGCAAAACAAAGGATATTCTCCTACTGTAGCAAGCATGGGAGACTTCAGAAAAAAGGGATACCAGAGGTATATTCTCTGTAACAAGGGTAGCATAAATGTTGGTGCATACTTGTTTACATGCAACATTGCTTCGGTCCTCTCTAAATGCCCCTGGCATGCCACCAGGCAATAGTTCTCTCAATTTGGGGCATGGGTGAATAGTGTCCTGTCAAGCAATCTGGTAATGACCGAGTCTTATGACCGAGTTTTGTGTTTTCTTATCAAGGGCAATATATCCTCGTATAAAGAGATGGCCCTTACAAACCCAGGAGTGGCAGCGCTGACATTACGCGCTGACAGCAAGATCTTAGCATCAGGCGGATGGGATTCAAGGTAGGACTTCCCTTTGGATTGCCACATTGGTTGGAGTATACTATGCATACAAACAATATGTGTGAAAAATGTTAGCGGTGGCTGTCCAATGTTATTGTTCCATTGGTCAACTAAAGCGGGTAAAGTGTTAAATGTTGTTTGATGCACCTTAAACTTAAAAAAAACTGATAACCTGCACTGGCAAATACAGATTGCAGAGAACGCAATGGGCCTTTGTTTGTTTCTTCTAAATTTCACTCCCAATTGCCATTCATGTAAAAGAAAAGTGGTTTTTATTGTGCAATGTTGTGTTGTAAGGGAGTTTACTGCATCATGTCAGAGCAAGCTTTGTAGCCTTGGAAAGGGTACCTCTGGTTTTATGAAATGGAAATAATCAACAGACATATTTATTCTTAATTCTTCACATTCTGCGATGATCATATCTTTCCCACTTTTACTTACCAATCTCCTCTTGTTCTCTCTCTCTCTCTCTCTCCTTTTTGTTGTTCATACAATTGCCACTTATTGAATATTAGGCTTTATTTAAGTGGACATTTTCTGACAGTGTTCAACTGAAAAATGAACATCAGTAGATCGATTGTTAGTATTACCTTCGATCATATAATTAATATATCACATCAGAAACTGCTTGCCAAGTTCAGAGCAGATAGGTTCATTCGTGGGCTTGCTCTATCCAACTTCCTTTCTATTATATTTCTTCTAAGTACATGTATTCTTTCTTCCTTTTCTGTTTCTAGAATTCGTGTGTGGAGCTGGAAGAAGCTCAAGCCACTGGCAGTTCTGACCTACCACACTGAAACGGTCAACTCGCTTGATTTCTCTCCATGGATAGAGGGCAAAGGTCATTTGATGGCTGCAGGAAGCAAGGACACTCATATCAGTGTTTGGTCACTTTACAATGACCCAAAGACTTGAAAATGTAACAACCAGGGATGGAACACTCATGACCTTATTTTATAAGAGGTGCTGTGATCCAGTGGATAAGTCACTCGACTGTGAGTTACGAGGAAAAGGATTTGAATATCCGCAACATCACTGAAGTCCTTTGACAAGACATTAGTCGACCTTTGCCACACTCGACCCAGATGAGGGAAATGATAACAGTGGAAACGTGTTATAACAAGGTCCTTGGAACCAAGGAACAAGGAAATTCCCTCGTTATATCAGGAATCTTGTGTTATCAGGGTACACTGAGGTTCCACTGTACCAGATATATTTCCTTGATATGTATTTCCAAGCCTCTTTGGACATGGTGATCATCTGGTGTATACCCTACAAGAACAAAACATATTTTACTTCTTCTCATGATGGAGAAAAAAATATTTACTCCTTATTCCGTTGCTAACCCGCCAGTTTTAATAGGAGCACACTAGTATTCGATGATGCTCATTAACTTGAGATGCCACAACATTTTTTAACAGATGTATAAAATTATGTAGACAATTAAAAAAACAAATGAAACAAGTCGTTGTGCATAAGGCTGTCGTTATTCTATTCTACTTTCCATTTGTGTATTTTGTTTTGTATAGCACCTTGAGTAAGTTACTAGATAAGTGTACTAGATAAGTGTACTAGATAAGTGTGCTTTATAAGTTATTATTATTATTATTATTAACTATGAAAGAAGTATGGAAGGCCTATTATAAGCCTACAATATGCTAACAAAATAACATACACAAAAGCATGATGCAACACTGAAAGTTATCTCCAAAAGGTGCATTTATTTTCACACCAAATAGATTTACAAGAAATACTTTAGAGGAAAATCCAACCTTGATAGCAAACTATTATAGAAGAAAGCAGAACAACCGGAGAAGTAGACTGGTGAAAGTTTGAATGCCAAACAAATAATGAAGATTTATGAACTTTTGAAAGTTGTTAATCACAGTAGGTAATCAAATTGGCCGGCTCGGTGATGTAGTGGTGGACAACTTTCCTATTTGTCCTAACACACAGAATGACTAAAATTCAAATTTAACTCGGGAGCGTCTTTTATCTTTACAAGACCATTAATAATTTGCTATCTATAATAGATTTTGATTAGTGCGCCAAGGGAGAAGGCACTTCGCATAAAATACAGATAGTATTGATATTCTTGTACACTACAAAGAGGAGAGTTGTCCTTGTGTACATCATAATTCACTGAGAAAATTGCCAATCGAGATTCACAATCATTTAGTGATGTCATATTTCAAATACTCATAATTCACTTATTATTGGTCAGATTTATTTCACACCTTCACCATTCCGTTGATATTATTTTTCTGCTTTCATCCAAATGAACTTATTAGAAGGGTTGGATTGCCCTTTAAGAATGAAAACATTTGTCTCAATCTGAAATTGCACTTCAGCAAGAAATGATTTATGACACGTCATTTGGTGAGAGCTTAAAGGGCACAAATCATATTTTGATACAAAGTGTTAAAGCCCTTCTTGCTCTTAGCAGATGATGTATTCAGAGTAAGAAAGTAATAACTGTAATAGCAAAACTTTTATGAATATTCACGAAAGATCAATGTGAATGAAAGATACCATTGAATGTGACCATAGAACATACTGAATTTTTCTGCTCTACAAGTAACTGTGTTATGCAAAAGGAGAAACATGAATACAAGAAAACAGATTTTTGCATCATATCTAACTTAATTAAACATAACCAAATACAGATGCAATTCTTGATTTAGAAAAGAGTGACATGTAAAAGGAATAATACATGTGGAAACATAACTGTACTTAAGACACTCATAAGTCAAAAATTCTAGCCCAAATCTTCCTCATAAAACACTGACAAACATATTTAGACACAACAAATATTTGCTTATGCCCGTCTCTCTCAATGATAACGCATATATGCGATGAATATGTTTTCATCGGACATAACTCTAGTGTACATGTACATATTAGCCCCACACTGTGTAGTGATATTGCTGTAAAATTGCTCATTTCTAAACTTAAAACTCTGGGTACAACAAACGGCAATGATTGACCTTTCTTATCATTTCAGCAATACTAAATTTACAGTGTAATTCTACATCTCTGCATGTGAGGCTACACTTAAGGCAGACTTATTGTCCTTCTAAACAAATATAAAAAGGCTTAAATTAAAAAATAAATCTTCTGGAAATGATCTTGCCTTGTCTTGTACATAAATCTTTAGTATATTTACATGAACAATATAGATACAGAATTACATGAAATATAAAATACTGTAATATAGTCTATACAAAATAGGTGTATGAGGGACATCTATATACTTTGAATAATGGACCTACATGTATATGCATCTACAAAAACAACAAAAGATAGTACTTTCAATTTCCACAAAATCTAACATCTAAACGGAACATAATACACATTAACCATCATTGTAGAATTACAAGTATTGGGTCCACAAACATGTATGTGAAGTCATACAAATGATGCACCACAAACCAAAGGTAAACCTATATGTAGGTTTATTACCACAATTGAAATTTTAAGTTTGTCTCTCTAAAAATGAATATCTGAAATACCATGCACCCCAGGGTTTTAACTCTTAGTTTTAACTTGGCCCATGGAATCACAGCAAACACAGGTGATTCGATTTGAAGAAGTAAGTTGAAGGTTGTAGGTCAAGGAATTTGTTAAAGGCCCACTGCACTACTTGTAGCTACTTGCGCCCTCTATATAACAAACAATGACTAATCGGTGACCATTAGTCCCCCATGATCCTCTTTTTCTTATGTTAACTGAGAGCTAAGTTGATGAGATAACCACCTGTCCAGTGACCTTGCAGGGCAGTCTAATCCCTCCTATAAACTACGGCAGATAAGCTTTAATGCACTCAGAAATTTAAAAAGTAAGAAAGAAAAGAAAAAAGGGTGGCAATACAGGCATATATTACACCATCTCTTTTCATAATCCCACCCCATAAAAAGGGGAGAAATGCTGATTGAAGCAGAATATTAGCGGTATACAGATTCATAAATGAGAATCCTTCATTGATTGTATAACATAATTCACTTAAAGAGCATGTTCATTGACTTAAATCTAATCTTCTATCAGTTGTACATGTACATCCACAAATGCCTTGTTTCATGAAACGTATTGTCAAAAATAAATTACAGTGATTGGTATAAGTTCCCCAAAACAATGCATTTGTTTAACCATGAGGAACAAATAATCAAGGACCTCTGAATGTTGTTATTGACAAAAAGTATTATGAAACACGGCCGAGATGTACATGTGTATGCATGTGTACTTCATGTAGCTGCTAATGGATAATTTTTAAATTTTAACAAATCTAAATCTCAACCCATATACAGCTTGTGCAAGTAAGATACACATAATAGAACTTTTACGATTCTTAGGCACCCTATATACTTGTATAGACATAGATGAATGCTGATATTATCAAGAGATAGAATGCTTTGCCTTCATGTTTAAAATAGGCAATCAACACAGAATACATGTACAATCATTTTGCCTAAAAGTGAATACAAGTCATTGGTCCAATGTTTTACGATGTGCTTGACATGAAATATCACAGTGCAACCTCGTTAAAAAAAAGATCTTGTGACTAATTGACTACTTAAATTATTGTTTTATATTAAAATGTTGTTTATATGAAGGCTGAAAAATAAAGAAAATATAAAGACATGAGATCTTTACCAAGACAGGGCCAAAATGTTCATGTTGCTGATTCCAGAACCTTGCAGTGCACACCAATACTTATATGCTGGATGATCAACCTTTTCTGATTGATTCCACAACGTTTCTTTCACAATCGCCTGACCAGAACTCAACTTTATCTTTAACACACACTCGAAACTTATACAGAAATCCAGAAACACCATATCAAAGGTCATCAAGTAAGTTTTAGGATGAATACACAAATAATTAATTCATGATTAGATATGCATTGTAGAGGCCGTTTGATATGTTACTCAAGTTATACTTCCAGGGCCTTGTAACACCTGTAAATCCTCATGGTCATATTACATTGAGAAATGCTGAATTGAATATTGTTCTGCCATTCCATTGCAAAGCTCTGTGTTCCAAAGTCCTGCACTACTTTCATTTTAATGAAAGAAACAGATTTACCATTAACCCATAATTGTAATAACATAAGAATGATATATCCATAAAACATACCAAAATATATTTCTCTAGAATATAATTCAATATATTTGATATACACATGTAGTTGTATTTTTCAATGACATTGGAAGCTGCATTGATTTCCTTCTGATCAGTTATGTACAATGTTTAAACAATTTCCTACCATGATTGGAGATTCAATGTTGTTTGACAAAATTGGACCAAACTGAAATATGTCATTAACAAATTGCATCTAACAGTAACAGAGTAAAAACATATAAACAAATACACAAAACAAAACAAATGAAACACCGTCACTTGCAATGGTCACTGGAAATGATGGTCTTATGTTCATTTGTATAGAGTCATAATAGAAAAAGACCACAGTTCAAGAATTATGCTCCATGACTTAACACAACTCCCAAAGTGATAGCATTTTAAATACTTACACACCAGAATTTCCTGCAAGAATGTAAAATCTATACAACAATCACCATTTTTCAAAATAAAATTCCAAAAGAACAGGAAAAATAGTGTATATGTCAAGTCATGTGAAGTAGAGAGAATAGGCCAAAACACCAAAAAGATGATTTCTTTTTATTTGCTGAAAAATGGCTAGCATTCTTAATGAAACAGTAAAATGGCACTGTCAGAGAACAATCACTACAGCAGACTTCCCTCAACCAAATAATAAAATGTACACTCAAAATATCTGTTTTGTTTGAATATTTTAAAAATCACTTCTTTGATGAATAACCCGCCCCTGTGCACTACCATGATACAACATGGAGTATTCACGATGCAATGTCACCTTCTAATGTTCTCTCTGAACATAGGAAAGAATCAATACCATCATCAAAACCCCCTAATAAATCTCGGTTTCTCGCGCCTATCATGCCTTGAAAATGTGCACCGCCCTCACAACGTACTGCCTGCAGATGGGGCACTCGTTCATACGCTTGCCACAGTTTGTACACGTGACCATGTGACCACATTCAAGTAGGATACAGTCAATCTCAGCATCCATACAGATCTTACATAAGGTGCTCTCATCATCATCATCCACGGCTGCCACTACACCTGGATAGTACAACAAAATGCAAACAAAATATTCATTATTAAATCATGAATAAAAAATGTATTGGTTTTTGATTGATTGAGAGCTCGTAACATTGCCAGAAATATTTCAACTATTTTAAGGTTGCTCTGAAAAAGTACTATATGAGAGTACTATTTGGGACATTTATTTTTAATTGATTTTTTTTTTTCTTCTTCAAAACTTAATAAAATGAAAACAAAATATTTAAAATCTTCTTTGATAAAAATTGACATTTATTTGTTCTATATTTTATTTTTTCCCCCAAAAAATGGTAATTGTTGGTTTTTGGATGCAGGATACAAACAAAATATACCGGTACCATGCCTTCTATTCGAGGTACTGGTATAGTATTAATGACTGCTTTGAGAGAAATAATTGTTTTTATACGCTCAAAGGAAGGTTAGAATTGTGCTATTACCCGAGGCGTGCCGAGGGTGATAGCCCAATTGTAACCTTCCCGAGAGCGTATAAAAACAACTATTTCTCAAATATTAAAGCAGTCATTAATACTTTTATATGCCAAAAAAAAAAAAAAAAAAAAAAAAAAAAAAAAAAAAAAAAAACTTTTTTCGAAGATGGGACTCGATCTCTTGCGTACAAAAGGTGATGTAACTAAGATCAGCGCCTTATACCGCTCGGCTATCGCGCTCTGTTACCAATCATAGCAGTTTTTTCTTATAAATACATTAAAATGGATTGAAACGGCTTCGCGTGGTGGATGCTTCGCGGCTGCTCCATTAAACAGGCCCTTCTTTTACTTTTGCAATGCATATTGGCACGAATTTAGATCAAGATCTATCGGCAGATGTTGTTTTTTTGTTTTTGGAAGTTTATTTTCGTCTTCATGACAACAATGCAAGATAAAATTGTCGGTAAGATCGATCGAGATTCAATTGTATTGAAATTACCGACCAATTCTTCGCACACGTACGGTATCCTCGATCGCTCAGACCATTTTTTTAACATGTAAACCTATGGGGTAACCATGGAGACTGACCTATTTTGGAATTGGGATTTTGGACTGTTTTTTAACCATGGTTACCGGGAATTTTCGGGAACAGTTAAAGTTTATGAATGCAATTTCGACCAATCAGATTGCTGGATTACTATTAAAACTATGGGCCTCGGTGACTCCAAAAGTACTATTTGCTTCGGGGCAATGCCCCTCAGCAAATAGTACTATTGGAGTCGCCTCTTGCACATAGTATAGTATTAATGACTGCTTTGAGAGAAAGGTTACAATTGTGCTATTGCCCGGCAATAGCCCAATTGTAACCTTCCCGAGAGTGTATAAAAACAACCATTTCTCGAATATTAAAGCAGTCATTAATACTTTTATATGCAAAAAAAAAAGAGTCAACTTATGACATCACCTTGGCCTTACACTAGTTTATCTGCACGTTTTTTTTATGAGTGTATATTTGAGAGTAGACTAGATCTAGATTCTAGTCTAAGCAAGATATTTGTACAATTTTGGGGGTGAGCCGGCCCTGTGGGGAATATGGAGAAAAACCTGCGCTTTCATATGACACCTCACCTATTGAGTATCACCTTCAGGATCACAAGCAATATTAGTTTGAATCTCTGGTATTAAAACATCGACCAATTTAGCATGAGTGCGCAATGGCCAATGCAGAGGGATGTGTGCAACTCTACGGGAAGGATTTTAGCACTAGGCCTACTAGATCTATTTTGAAAAAAAATTATGGAGAATTTCATGTACCCTTTTTGGTGTTCTTGCTGTCAGCAAGTCTTATATTTGATCATCATCAAGAAGTAGAAATCTTGGGAGAGTTTCTTCAGCCATTTTTGCCTTGTTTGGAATTCAGTACAATCGAGATTGCTGTATAAAAAATACTGACCAATTCTTCGCACACGTACGGTATCCTCGATCGCTCAAACCAGTTTTTAACATATGAACCTATGGGTATTTCACCAAGACTGAACTATTTTCCCGGTAACTGGAATTTTACAGAAATAGTTAAAACCATGACTGCAATTTCAACCAATCAGATGGCTGGATTTCTTAAGTGAGGTATATAATTTTAACTAGAACCTCTAAAGACAGTGTATATTTGTATATTATTCCCACTCCAAAAAGATACAATACAAAACAGTACTATGAAAAAAATTAAAACATTGTGTCCTATAAAAATCAAATTTAGAGTTTACAAGTACATGCTCATGTATGACATAATTTTATCATAACCAATACCGTATATCAAACTGAAATCAAATGAGAACGAACTAGATGGAATTTTGACTGCCCGCAGTCGAAAATGACGCCTCCGCCATAGAGCAATTTAAACAAGTTTGGAGTTTAAATCTACAGTGGTTCTTGAGATATCATGATAACAATCTCAATGTATGGAATTTCATAAGTTGACCTCTGTGACCCTTGACCTTTGACCTACGTGCTCCAAAATCTAATCAGATTGTCTTCCTATGGTGATACACACTATCATTAAGTTTGAAGTTTAAATCTCCAGTGGTTCTTCAGATATTATGATATGGTGATACATACTATCATTAAGTTTGAAGTGAAAATTCTCCAGTGGTTCTTGAGATATCGCGATAACGATCTCAATGTATGGAATTTCATAAGTTGACCTCTGTGACCCTTGACCTTTGACCTACATGCTCCAAAATCTAATCAGATTGTCTTTCTATGGTGATACACACTATCATTAAGTTTGAAGTTTAAATCTCCAGTGGTTCTTGAGATATTATGATAACAATCTCAATGTATGGAATTTCATAAGTTGACCTCTATGACCCTTGACCTTTGACCTACGTGCTCCAAAATGTAATCAGATTGTTTTCCTATAGTGATACACACTATCACTAAGTTTGAAGTTTAAATCTCCAGTGGTTCTTGAGATATCATGATAACAATCTCAATGTATGGAATTTCATAAGTTGACCTCTGTGACCCTTGACCTTTGACCTACGTGCTCCAAAATCTAATCAGATCGTCTTCCTATGGTGATACATACTATCCTTAAGTTTGAAGTTTTTACATCTCCAGTGGTTCTTGAGATATCATGATAACAATCTCAATGTATGGAATTTCATAAGTTGACCTCTATGACCCTTGACCTTTGACCTACGTGCTCCAAAATGTAATCAGATTGTTTTCCTATAGTGATACACACTATCACTAAGTTTGAAGTTTAAATCTCCAGTGGTTCTTGAGATATCATGATAACAATCTCAATGTATGGAATTTCATAAGTTGACCTCTGTGACCCTTGACCTTTGACATACGTGCTCCAAAATCTAATCAGATCGTCTTCCTATGGTGATACATTCTATCCTTAAGTTTGAAGTTTAAATCTCAAATGGTTCTTGAGATATCGCGCTAACAAACTCAATACAAGGAATTTCATAAGTTGACCTCTGTGACCTGTGACCTTTGACCTACGTACTCCAAAATCTAATCAGATCGTCTTCCTATGGTGATAAATACTATTCCCGAGTCTTAAGTTTAAATCTTAAATGGTTCTTGAGATATTATGATAACGGTCAAACGGGACGGACGTACGGACGGATGTACGGACGTACGGACGGATGTACGGACGTACGGACGTACGGACGTACGGACGTACGGACGGACAACCCGAAAACATGATGCCTCCGGCACCACCTTCGGTGGCGGAGGCATAAAAAAAGGAGAATAAGCCCTCTAATAAAAAAAATTCTTGTTTTCTTAGCTATAGATTAGCATTAATTTCAATGCATTGCACATGATTTAAGCAAATAATTAGGATTTGATAAAGTTACATACCCTCTTTGGCTGTCCCCGCATCTTGTTTTTGCTCTTCTGTGAGAGGAAGAAAACAGAACAAATTGAGTAATACTACCAGTAACATAATTACAATTACACTCTTTAGGTCAACAAAAAATATTTATTGTTGCACAACCTTTGCATGTCAAGTACAAGCAGGACAGGAAATCATTTCTGTTTTGACCATCAAACATCGTTACAACTGGCTACATGTACTGTATGACTGAATTTGAACGAAACTGAAATAGAACTGGATATGGATTTTCAAAAATATCCCACATCCCAAATTGTCATGAGTATAGCAATTCAAACAAAATTGCAGGATGCTGAGTGCCTCCCAGTTGGTTGGAGAAAACGCCTGATCAACTGTGAATGGTAGTGACATCCTCATGACTGGCCACTGACTGACTCCATGGTCCTGTTTCATATAACTCTTTAGTCAATAAGAAAGAAATAAGTTCAAAGGCAGGTTTGCTCAAAATCAATCAGATACACTTGTTTCAGTAAATTAAATGGGGAGGGGCCTTGATGTCTCGTAGGCCAAGAGGCTTCGAATATCATGCAATCTTGATACTAAGATTTGTTAGTGTTCTTGACCTTGGTCAGATTGAATAGGCCTTACAGTTTCAAGATGTGTGGTGGCTATTTGGATAGCAGTGGAATAGATATTTGGCAATAATTACATACATCGGTACTTGATGTTGTTTACATACAATGCCTTATTGTGTAGTATTACATTACACATGCAGGGTGGCTGAGATTTTAATACTGTAACATGAGTGCAAGTTACCAGCCAAATTTATGAAGATATTGATCGCACCCACGCCGGTGAGAGAGAGATAGAGAGTGAGCATAGGGAGGGGGAGGGGTACACAGGGAAAGCAGGAGGGTGAGGAAAGATTGACAAAGAGAGGGTGAGGGAAAGATAGACAAAGAGAGAGAGAGAGAGAGAGAGAGCTTGGGGAAGGGGAGGAGGGAGGGGGTAAACAACAGGGAGGGGGGAAGAGAGTGAGCAAGAGAGAGAAGGTGAGTGGGAGACAGACAGACAGACAGACAGACAAAGAGAGAGAGTTAAAAGAACTAATCAATGCATGCAATCAGTGTCTAATTATAGATGGATGCTACATCATGTACATGTACATGTATATCAAGGAAAAGGTGACAATATAGACACAGCAGGACAATAACACATTAATTGGACCGTTTGGTCGTTTATCTCATTCCTTGCATATTAAGTGTTTCAAGCTGATACAATACAATGTGTGGAGCATTTGACAAATTGTAGGGCTGTATGCACAGGCATTTTTTTCCTTCAGAGTAATCCTTAAATCCTCAATAATACATGGCCTCAAATAAGAAATAAATAAAAAGTGGAATCTATAGAAATGTATGAGCTGTCAAATTATGAATAACAGGTACAAAAAAATGTGTGTATGAGTGTCAATTTTACTAGAAAATCAAGGATCTTTTCCAACTTCTAAATATATTAAACTAATTTGCACTACCGGTAGTTACTTCAAATTTTCGTCCCCGATTGGAAAAACTTGAATGTTATGTTTGAATCAATCTATCTGTATGTTCGCAGATGGACTTTGTGCCCCCAAGGGCATAATACGTACATGTACATGTATTTTAACTTGTCAATTGTACTTTATCCCTATGTACCGTATTGATAGTACATGGATGTAAATGCATGTACCTTTTGTATACAAAATTCTTTCTCATATTAGGGCTCGGGGTCACAACCACACAATTAGAGCATTACATTTGACCTTTAAAAACCGGAATCACTGCCAAGCTGAATAATGTTTTCATACATGGACAGGTACTGTTACAGTATGTGTTATTTTGATCAAAGAGTATTAATCTTGATAAAGGCAAAAGTGAATGCCACTATGCCACAATCAGCACCGAATTGGGATCGATTTACACTATAGATTTCCAGGGTCAGTACATGTAGTTAGTCTATTACTTTGCCTGTTTGTGAAATGGCAGAAATATCATATCTTGTACTTCATTTGCTTCTTACATAAATGCCTACATAGTACATGCAGTCTAAATACAGTTCATCCTACATGAACCAAGTACCATGGCAGAATTGTTTCTTTTTCAATCTACATGTACGACCGAGATGTTAATCATTTACGCATTGTTTTTTCTACAATACCTTCTTCAAGTCGTATAGCTGCATTCTCTTATTATATCACTCTTCTATTAAGCCCCAGGTATAATTATGATTTTTAATTAGAAATTGCACTAAATTCATTTCATACCTACACATATATTTCTCACTTATTTTACCCAACTCCCCAATTCATTATTTCATTCATATGTTCTTGTACATGTATTACTATTTGTGCACCTATATAGCTCTTTACAGAGCGAATTTATTTTCCATTTCTTTTTCACATAATATAAACAATAACAAAACAATAATAAACATAATGGTATAACAGAAATAAGCATTGAAATATCTTTGATATTGTTTTTTAGTCATTGTATAAATGTAAAATGATTTAATTACAAGAAATGAAAAAAACGAACCTACTTGAAAGCAAAGCTTGTTAGATGTAGGTTCGCACAATAATATTTATACTTTATACATTTATAACTTAATTTTGAAGAAAAATTACGGAATAAAAAAAAACATGACAGACAATAGAAGAAAAAAAAATTAACGAGACAAAAACAAATCAGAAACATTAGCAGAATGACAAGATGATGATAAATTAAGAATATAAGAATGAGAGAGTAAAAAACAGAAGAGGGGGAAGACATGCAGGAAGATAAAAAGAAGACAGAGAGAGGGGGTTGAGGGAGACAAAGAAAGAGACAGAGAGGGAGAGGGGAACTACTTCTTCTGATTCGTTTGCAACAAAAAGTGCTTGAGGGCATTTTTGAAACCACTTAATGAGGGCTTTTCTTGTAATGTGCCAGGAAGGGCATTCCAATATTTTGGGCCAGTGAAAGTGAAAATCCTGCTGGAAAATTGCGTTCTTGGCTATGGTAGGTGATAATATTTTGCTATTCTCGTGGGGTAACTATGAAATTCAGTATTTTTGTTAAACATATTTGAAAGAACTTGTGGCAATTCATTTTGTTCTAGTGTATACATAAATATACCCAAGTTATAGGAAAATAAGTCATGAATCTTCAAAACATTATTTGCGTGAAAGAGTTCATTAGTATGAGCGCGAAAATTGGTTATGTTAAGATTGCCACAATTATATATGTATTTTGTTTTTTCATCTGATTTATAAAAAAATAACTTTAAAAAATGTAATTCGGCCTTTCACCACCATTAAGCCTTTACGATTAAAAAAATGAAATTAAAAAAATCCACAACAAAATGGGAAAAAAGCAAATCTACCGGAACATAGAAATCTCTCTATTTCACTTAGGCATTAGGCAGGGAGAAAAAAATTAGTATACTAGTTTAAATACAATGGAAATTGCAATTTAGGTCCGTCTGTTATGTCCAATTATAAGTTTAACTCACTGACCAAAATTAGCCATAATCACTACTTCCTTTCTTGGAGATGGTGTATTTCCTAAACCACTACCCTTCCCAGAACTGCAGGATACATGTATTGGTATGTATGTATACATGTCCAGGGGCGGTATTCTGAACCCTGTGTTATCTCTAATATTGTTGTATCTTTGAAGATAAGATAAAGTTGGTATTCTGAACACTGTTGTAACTTTTGTGTTATCTTTTGTTGTATCTTTTCTCTCATCTTAATTATTGGCCGCGACTGCGCTCATACTTTGGTGCGCTTGTAATTGTGCGTATTATTAATAAAGTGGCATTTAATTCTCATTTGCATATGCGCACGGGAGATAATATGTCGAGATAATTGGTATTCTGAAAGTTGTTGTATCTTTTATCTTATCTTATCTTGCACGGTATTTACAACAATATTTACAACAGGTAGGGGGTTGTTGTATCTTTCGTGGTGATATAATGGCGGCAATATTTTTTGCCCAGAACCAACTTCGTGCCAATAGACGAGTTAGAAGAAGATTGTGTGTTGACCGGAAACATCACAGATGAGAACTTTCTAAAATATTACATGCTAGGATAGGACTATTTTAATGCTCTCATCTTAACCAATATAGTGAAAGCGTGATTTGTCTTCATGATCCACATTCAACAGCGCATAATGATGACGCGCGTAATAAGTGCTCAAATAACTAATTACGCCCAAGATTAGTATGCGCTAGGCGCATCTTCAGATATGGCATAAAGTATTCCTATTGGTTGATCTACTTATCATGCTTATATAAAATAGATTTTGATTGGTAGGGTCCATAAAAATGGGCGTGTCATCAATGGTCAAAGATAAGATAGAGGCGGTCCTTCAAGAGATAACACAGGGATAAAACAATGTTCAGAATACCAACTTACAACAATATTAGCGCTGTGTTATCTCTGGAAGATACAACAAAAGATAACACAAAACTTACAACAATGTTCAGAATACCACCCCAGGTATTGAAGGGAATTCCCCAAATAGTTCCTCCTGTACACGTACACTGATTGCATGCATTGAAGCAAGAGTCATATCACACACCTCTCGCTGGGAGGTCTTTCCGGTAACAGTGCACAGTCTATTTTTAGATGAATACATGTACATGTACATGTAGCGTATGGCTTGAAATCACACCGAGACAGACATTGAATGTTACAATGTACGCTGTCTAATGGACATTTTCATTGATTTCTTTTTCAGAGAACCCTTTGGAACTCTAACTAACAGACTGTTATATTTGCTTCATATGCAATACACTGAAAACTAAATGCAAATATAATTTACATTCTTTCTTGTTATATTAGGCAAACCTTAGCAAACTTTGGGGCATGAAACAAATGGTAACTTGTTTATTTAAAAAAGAAAAAATATTACAATATTTAGATTTCAGCATATCAATGCAACCAATGAGGATTTCTTTTGCCTTTCCAAAAGTGATATTTTTTTTAATCATTCAGATTCATCTTTCCTTTTCGTAGTATATACATGTATGTAAATGATTTTATTAAAAATGGGTTTTTATATAAAACATGTTATTTTGTAAGTATCAACTAAGGCTGTGCACAACAGTGTAATGAGGTACCCGAGTACACTCCCAGGCTTACAAGCGAATACTCAAATATTCGAACGCCATGTTTTTTTATAATTTAAAAAAAAAAAAAAATTGTTGTTGATTTTTTTGATTTTTTTTAATTTTTAATTTTTGATATTTTTTTTGGCACCACCATACTACTGGAGCAGTATCCAAAGTCCATCGCCGAAAACGCATGCAATTTTACTTGGAGTTGCAGTTGAAGGCGCTGATTTAATAGTAATAATAACAGTAAACAATGCTGTTTTAAAGACCAAAGATGGCAGAATAATCCATTTTCCTCCAAGTCCAAACAGAAATCTGGACATTTAGTCCCAGTTTCTGAGTGGTGAGTTTGACAGTGATTGAGTTGGGAAACATTTTTACCGACGACACCATGCCAGCAGCCACCGCTCTCCCTGGCACGGATAACCGTCGGCCTGGGATTTTTTTTTTTATTATTTTTTTTTTTTTTGCGGCCGAATATTCGAGTAAGAGAAATCGTACTTGAGTAGTTGTCAACCATGCGGATACTCAAGCATTCGACTACTCGTCGCAGCCCTACTATCAACATCATTTTCATTTAAAACTCAGGACCATCTTCCGTTTTTCATTGATATCGAAATACCTTGTTATATTTCCATTATGCACATATATATATATATATATATATAACAACAAGCAAAGACAAAACAAACAAACCCTCCAAAAACCAAGATTTAAGCAACACTTTCCAAAATAAACATATTTCTCACCTTTCATTTTACGCTGCTGCTTCTCTTCGTATAACCTCCTCACTCTGTCCTCCAGTTCATATCTCTCTACGCATCCCTTGTAGTTGACAAAGTGGGCCGTCAGTATTTCTTTGAGTTGCTTGACGTTGAGTGATTCAATGCCTTCTACGGTTTCCAAATCACTCAGAGATGCTCGTTTTCTTAAGGGCTGGACAGGCGTTTGCTGATGAGAAAAGATTGAAATGTTTTTTTATCTATGTAACATATTATTTTTACACGTAGATCTAACTAGTGGGATTTGAAATGGTATAACAGTCTATTTCATGGGCAGTTCGTGAGAGACCAGGGGGGGGGGGGGGGGGGTTCACAAAACTTGTCATCAGTGACAAATGACAGTTTTTGTTATAAGCTAGTGAAATCATTGCTTCTGATTGGTTATCAGCAGATTTGTCACTTAATTTGGTCATTTGTCATTGAAAAAAGGCTTTGTGAAAGGGTCCCAGAACTCTCTTGCAGGATGAACAGGCATGCATGTACTGTATGTGCTTAGGAGGAACAGTTACATCGTTTCCATAAAACTATGTATTTTAGATCTAATTAATAGTATTTGGAGGCCAGTACACTGCATTTATCATCCGTGGTCTAGAAAGACCAACATTCTACTATTACAAATTTATACCTTTCTGTATATATCAGAATAAACCCAACAGCATACTTAACACTCTGATAACAATATAGTTTGTATAACAAAAAAATAAAAATAATTCACAATAGAAACTCAGATACATGTATGTGAAATATTCCAGATTAAGGTTCCGTTGTTTATAGGTCACATGAAAAGAGAAAAGCAGGACACTGTTAGCCTTCTGAGAAGAAAGGTCAAATTGACTCTAAATGATGGTTAAATCAGCTATCATTTTGACTTGCATTAAAAATATTTCAAAAATCCACATTTTTTTCATTTGGAAGTTCAGAAGCACTTATTTAATATCATACCACCCTTTGTGTACAAAGAGCACCAACTACATTTTTTTTTCCTTTCAAATCTCACCTCATTATTCTGGGTGGGTGTTGCTTCACTGTTCTGGTGAGATGGCACGGTTTCTTGAGAAGATGCTGTAGCTGTAGTTGTCGTGTTTGATGATGATGGTGCTGGGGTTCCACTCGTCCAAGCTGTTCTTGACTGAGGTCTCTGGTCACTTCCCTGTAGAATATTAAGAGGACAATTGAGCAACAGTTGCTACTGACCAACCGTTCAATAGTGCTGCTGGATAATCATTAGTTATGACTGACCATAGTTACATGTCAGGGGCACCAAAAAGACCATCACCATACTACAAAGACAGCATATTTTGTATCTGTTAATAAGTGTCTCTAATTTAAACTGTTACATTAAAGGTACTATGTCCCATTCGCAGGCCAAAAAAATGAAAAGGTTAAATTCCAACGGCATTTGAAAGATAATACTAATTAAGAACTTCCCTAAACAAAGGGGGGCTTGAAAATGTCTTTAAGTGGAAAAATAACGACTATTAGTTGTCGAATTGACTTAAGAGCTATAGAGCCAGTACCGTATTAAGTAATAGTCTGATTTTCAGACCATTGTACCGAATGGTTGTACGTTTTATGCTGCGCAAAGATTCAATCAATTTAATTTTGGTCATTACAAGAAGTGGGTTATTGATGTAGACAAATGTTCATGTACATGTACCCTTTACAGCTCATTTTATGTATATTATTACCAAAGAAGAAAAAAAAGCCAGTCAGTCACTCAATAGTGTCTCACAGTGAAGTCTAGCAAGTAAACAGGTTTCCCTCCATAATTTGAATATTAGGACACTGCTAACGTTTAAATTTCACAGATAGGACATACATGACATATTCATTTTTCCTGCAAAGTTCTACAGAATTTGATGTTGGCTGCAAAAGGGACATAGTATCTTTAAGGTTTAAAAGTAGGCCTGGATAGACAATTTGGCATACTAGAGATATCAAATCATTCTACCGATGAAACATGAAATCATAGATCTGCAAAGAGCCATAAGATCATTGACTGTGTGCTGAAAAATTTAAGAATAAATGTTTCAAAATTTGGTAGGATGCTTTGTAATAGTGACCGACTAGAAAGGCCAATGTGTAAACTTAAATCTAAACACTCTTCCCATTAACAGCAAAGAAGCACAAGCTCATTATAAACTCTGTGTTGAGTGAATGATAATGCCATTATGCATTTACATGTAGTTGGCAGACAGAATTATTAGTAATAATGGATAGTAGGAACTTACAGATGTACTAGTACTGTTAAATGTGTTGCTGGTGAACCCTTCCCCGGGTGAACCACTCGACGTAGTGGTGAAGAAGTTGAAGTTGGGTGGATCCACACTGCTCCCTGTTCCCTGGTTGGATAACCTTGAGAAAATGTCATTGAACACCTCTTCGATCCCCTGGGTCACCCTCTGTCCTTGTGGCGGCTGCTGGGGCTGGGGCTGTGCCTGTGGGTAACTGGCCCTGTTCCCTGGTGTGGTGCTGGTCCTATTGTTAGACGACGTTGACGCTGAGGATCTCGTGGCCCTTCCCGCGTTACCCCGTGCTGTGGGTTGAGGATGCATGTGGACGTACTGAACCACTAAATCCACTAGATCATCCTTCTCTGTGCAGGATTGGGTGGACACACTGTGAGTGTTCAGGTAAAGCCTGAGATCCTTGATCTTCAGGGCCATGAGTTCTGCCCGTGTGGGGCTCCGTTGTATGGCACTGCATGCACTGCAGCATTTCCGGGGCTCCTTGACGAAGCAATTGGAGCAGTAGTATTTATCACAGTCTGTGCAACGGTACTGAAAACACAAAGGATTAAAGATATGTTAAATCACTCTATTACATGTATACATGTACATGAAAGTAAAATCCACATGGAAACCTAATCCCTCTTTATGGCATTCCGGACTTGCACATTGCAGAATTCCAGAGAATTCAAAACTCTGCTGCCAGGCTTGTAACACGCACACGCTCTTGTACGCACATCACTCTAGTACTTCCCAAATTGCATTGGTTGCCAGTGATGTACCGCATTTAGCGCATTATGTACAACATCTTGGTTTTAACTTATAAATGTATTCATGAATTGGCACCAAATTATCTGCAAGAACTAATCCAGGAATACAAACCATCACGCAATCTACCGTCATCTTTACAAGTGTCTACTTCGATGTCAACTCTTTCTTATGGCCATTGCTCTTTTTGCAAAGCTTCTGCTAAACTTTGAAACAAACTACCTTTAAATGTCAAAAACTGTCAGACTGTCAACCAATTCAAAACATGTCTTAAGACACATTTACTCAAAATTGCTTTTGATGATCAACTTACTCTGTTTATTCATGTTTTAGGGTTTATTTACAATATATATGTATGATTTTTTACATACATGTATGTAATTATTTGTCATTGTATTTTGTTTGTTAAAGCACTTAGAGACTTTGACGGAAAGCGCTTTCCAAGCACCATTTTTATTATTATTATTATTATTATTATTATTAAAGATATTTCATCGAATTTCATAAAATGTATCTGTATTACAAATTTGAGACGTAATGTAAACCAGCTAAGAAAATTGAAGGTAAGAACAATGAGCATACGATCTTCACTGCTAGTATGAATCTTGCTGGTTCTATAGCCTAAAAATATTCCATTTAAAATCTTTGTACATGGAGAACAAATTTGGATGACTTCTTTTTAAACAAACTGCATGCACTTTACCGGTAACTTACAGTAATAGTCTGAAAGATTGTTCTTATCCGTGCAGGATTGAGTGCACACTGAAATACAAGAAAAGGTAACCCAAAAAAACTGGTGTCCTCACCTTCCTCTTAAAGACATGGAAGGACGCTGAACAGGCTTCACACACCATATTGCAGTTTTCGTCTACAGGTTCACCGTAGCTACTCTGTCGGCTGGACGGCCTGCGAGGAGTATTATCCCCACCTGAATAGGCTGTTGATGATGATCCCGCTTGCACTCCCACACCAACACCCTCGCCCGCTCCCCGTGGGCTGGCACCGGCCGAGGGATCGGCAGCACCGGTATAACAGAACGCGTAGGCCGTTGGACTCACAACAGGCTTGCCTGCACCTGAACCCATGGGGTGCAGGTTTGTGGGTGAATGGCACAGGGTAGATACATGTACTTTGCACAAGGGATGATGCCAAAGTGTAGAGATTCTCAATGCTGGTAAGTCATCTGAAAACATGAAAGTAAAAATGTTTGGAAATTTCAGAACATGGATAAGTCTACATAATTTAAAGATTATACCTGTTGTTGAATGGGAAATATCAGCAACAACTAAATTCAGTAGTGAAGAAGACACATGCTCAATTCAATTTGAAAACCTGACTGACATGCAGACCTGCTGACAAACATGTAATAATGACCATGTCGTAACATTGGACAAGCTATGCCTCTGGGGCCCGTTCTTACTTTTCCCACTTTTATAAACTGATTATATGTGTTTCTTTACATATTGTAAAATCCTCAAAGCGACGGCAGGCAAGCCATAGTTCGAAGTAGTGCTGTAGTCAAACGTTTAACCGTCCGGTATCCGACCGCCCATGGCGGATTCCGTTTTCAATTGGACGGTTTTGTTTTCCTGATTTTTTTTTTTTTTTTTTTAAATTTTTTTTTAATTTTTTTTTTTTTTTATAATTTTTTTTTTTTTTTTTTTTAAGTTTCGATTTATGCCCCTCCACCTGGCACTATGCCTGGCAATGTCTCCCAGCTCAGTAATCTGTGTGTTGACTCACCACTCCAAAACTAGAACAACACTCCAATTTGTGTGTCATCTTGGTTTGAAAGTAATCTTTGTAATAGATCTCATCATCTCAATATGTAGTTTATAATAATAATTCATCCAACTTTTACACAAGGTTCTGTCCTAGGTCCTCTACTGTTTTTAATTTACATTAATGATCTTACACATTCTTCTAAAAACAACATTGTTACTATTATTTGTGACAAGTTCACAAGCACAAATCGGCCCCTTTAAATGCACCTCGCAGTTAAATGAAAGTTGCCGACAGAGTCGGTAAAAAAAAAAAATAAAAAAAAATAAAAAATAAAAAAAACGATTTTTTTTTTTTTTTTTTTTTTTTTTTTTTTTTTTTTAAATCGTTTAACCGAAAACCGTCCGGTTTTGACTGGCGGTTAAACGGAATTGGAGATATCCGTGATGTTACAGCACTAGTTCGAAGTGTATTCTTTACTTTTCAGACTCATTTTGCCTTTGAGATAAATTCTATCTTCAAATGTGTAAAATGCATAGTTTTAAACATGTGTTTTAGCGTTTGGAATGTTAAATTTTTGTCATTTGATACTGACACATAAAACATTGGACACACATTTCATTACATCGTATTTTTCTAAGATTGGTGTAGTTTTATAAACTATCAAATGAAAATATCCGGGGGGTACCCATCTCAAGAACAAAACTGATTCACCGGTCATATAATGAAATACTCACAATTATATTTTACAAGTACTTCTTTTGTATAATCTACACAAATTAGGAAGTACCGGTATATTGCATTTCTTATTTCTTGGTATCATTTTCAATCTTTTTTATTACTAATTCATTTAAATAATTGCATTTTCCCTAATATTACGGCACTTTTGTAATAATCTGGTGGTATTGCGACTAAGGCTAAGTCTCGGCTCCTCTTCTCGCCGATAGTAGCCTATCGATCTCACGAGATATCTATCTAGTAAGCTCCTCGTGAAACGGTTTAGGAAGATCAGAGATATCTCCGTAGTTGGCAGATAAAGTTACGACTATCTTGTCGTTGGTTTCTAGGAACGAGCCCCTGGTGCTTAACTGTATTCTGTACTAGAACAAAACATAATACATCGTTGTCCATTGTCTGCATATTGGGTCATTACTATTAGAACTTGAGAACCACGATACATACATGTACATGTAATTCATTATAAACCTTGGCACAAGTACAACTACAAATGCTTACAGTCTTACAGATTAGAAATCCTATTTTACAATTTATAACGTGAGAGCCAACGCTCACCACTTTGTCGTTGGGTTTAACTTCCATATGGCTTTGCATATTGTGCAGAATAAATCTGTCACTCTAGAAATATTGAATGGTGATTTAGATTTATGTCCGTTCAAGATACATCCAAAATTCCTGGTTCCAGAGGGGAAAATTAATTTGCATTATAACTTATAACTAAAAACCTACTTCTGAGGTATGAAACTTAGATCAAACAGTTTTTTAGTTAAATTTACATAACACAGACTACATCTCGAAGTTAAAAAATTATCATAGAATCTAAACTCTATTCTATTTTGTTTTCTCTAAATATCGGCAAGCACGAAGTTTGCAACATGCAACCAGAACACAGTACCTTACACCCTGCATCTTCGAAATAATCTGCAATTAACAAGCGGTCATTACAAGCATGACAAGAAAGAAGAAGAAGGTGGTTGAAGATTGTGTCTGTTTTTATTTATTTATTTTATTTTTCCATCATCTACAGTACATGTACATGCAGACTATGTTCTCCTCCTTAATTACAGGTATCCCTTACAGATTGCGCAATCTATTTTCAATTAATTATTTTTTTAGTACTATTCATCCTACAAATGTTGCAGTATGATGGGAGGTTGGGTGTCCGGATACTTAACGAACATAAATTAAAGACTTCTCTTTTGCCAGGGGATCGGGATCGGGGGGGGGGGGGGGGGGGGGGGGGGGGGGGGGTGGCACACGCCACCCTGCGTCCTCAACGTGAGTCAAACTTAACTTCTTAAGTTGTAAAATGTTTTACACAGTTTCACACACATATATGGCGCACCTGACCATGCTGACACTTCCCGACTTCCGAATTCGAAAGAATTAATGACTAGAGATCAAGTAGAATCTAGGCTATATCAGGCCTCTCGCCAAGAAATTAAAAACGCGTGGCGCGACCTAAGGGAAAATTTGACCCCCCCCCCCCCCCCCCCCCCCCAAAAAAAAAAAAAAAAAAAAAAAAAAAAAAAAAGTAAAAATTTGATTTTTTTTTTTTTTTTTTTTTTTTTTTTTTAATTTAAATTTCTTTTTTACAAGTATTACAAGTAATTTGATGAATTTTTAATACCATACCTGCCAACCCTTACGAATAATTCAGAATATTTTGTTTTTGGGGATTTCTAGGACCAGAAAATCCGGAATTGTCTGATTTTTCAACAAAAAACAAAAACAAAAAAAAGTTCCTGTCGGGCCCGTCAGGAACGCGTGGCGCACGCGCCACGCGTTATCTGTGTACGCGAGGGCCATGGGCTATATTATTATTATACGAAACTGCCGGTATCGGAAGACTCTCCACCATGTCCATGGTATCTGGATTCTGAGTTATTTACCTTGCACCTGCATCATGGCCTTGAGTTGAATCAATCGATAATCTAGATTCTAGGAATTTATTTAGACCTAGAGTCTAGTCTAGTTAAACAAAATTTATTAGCATTGTTAGCAACTGTTTCTGTCATGTCTTTTGTTCGTGATGTTGAAGAGCTGTGGAGCTGTGTCAAGGAGTAGATTCTAGATCTAACTTAGATCTAACTGTGAATGTGTGATGATGATGTGTTGTCGTTCAATAAAAGTTGACTTGTTGATCTGTTGAGGCATCTGGGCATTGTCACTGACATAATTTTACGTATGAATTTAAAGGGAAAATTAAATAAAAATCTTCTCAACGTATTTAATAACACCCAAACCTTCTTATACGGCACATGTTAGATATTTCCACGTTATTTCCACCGACTGGACGTTAGACATGTTAGAAGAGTAGAGAATTCCTACAAACCTCACGTCTCCATGTTTGTCTCCATTCATCTCTATGCGAGTGGAGTAACCAGGAAGTGAAACAACGTCGTTGCATTTGCAGTCTCGCACACAAAACCTATGAGTGATTGGCCTCCAAATTTACAACCGCACGTATCTCAAAGAGTTTAAATAGCGCGAACCCTTTTAGTGCTAACAAAGTGATGGTGGGGACACCACCTGTTTTGTGTTTTTTTTTTCGATTCCGGATGGGATTGAAAATGGTTATACAATTATGTTCCTCCTTTTTGAGTATTTTCCCTTCATTTCTTGTTTTAAATTAGAGTGTCGAATTATAGCGTCGGATGCTAGTTTATTTCTATGATACCTATATTATAGTCTACTATAGTTTCAAAAGAATATCTAATTATCAGTTTAATACAAAATAGGTCCATATAACATTGTTTGTATTTTCTGGCGCCTATTTAATACAAGTAGATATCCTATGTTGGATGTTTGTTCAGTGGAAAAATGAAAGGAGCGATTGGGTTCAAAGTGTGAGTCATTTGTGAGGAAAACGTTTTCATTTTTACTCTTTGATTAGAAGCCTTGATCCGCATGGATTCTGCGGTGGTGCCTTATACATGGCTACGGTAACTTTGCTTTGAGTTTTCATTCCAGATGCAATTTGATTCATTTCCCTTCCTATCTCATTGCTTGGGCCTCAAATCATCATTTGTCTAGCTTGTTTGTCATCTCAGAATCCTTCTATTTTAGTGTATAGTCAGCTTCCTACAATCTTGGAGATTCGGCGTGCAGAACTCTGAAAAATTGTGATTCGTATAATTTAGCAAGGGTACAAATCCCTATTGTATAATGCGGTATAGGAGCCTATAATACAGCCTAGCTGAAATTATAAATACAAGAATATTGTATTGCAAAAATAGTCAATTCTTAGTAATTGCCAAAATAAAACCAGACGAAGAAGAATTTAATTAGCGTCAAATTAGGACAAAGCGCCGAGATCATATACGTTAATTGATGGCAATTTAACCTACAGGAAATTTCGGGATCATGATTGCACGTGACCAGTGGTGTAATGAGCAAAAACTTTTGGGGTCAGAACAAAATCCTTATCACCACCAAGTAGCATAATGCAGGGGCAGCGGAGCGTCTTCCAAAATAGGACGGGGGCACCAACAAAAAGCGCACTTTCTGGAGAAAAAAAAGGGGCACCTACAAAGGAAAACATCAACAAAACCTAGACCATTTTTAGACAATATGGTTTATACCCCTACATCGTCATGATTGTGACTACCAGGGATGATATCGATATGTGTGTCTTTCTTTACGGGGTACAAGATAATAAATAAGCAACATACTTTGCAGTTAGGTGTGATGGTCTGAATATTAATTTTCAAGCGAACGAAA